AATAATCCCTGATAATCTAAAGACTATTAAGGCCGGGGGTAGGAGGCGTTACTGTAGATCTTGTAGATCACCCCGGCTCTTTCTCCCAAGGGCTTTGTTTCAACACCGTGAACAACGAGAATGCCCAGTATATTCCACCAAGCAACCATCTCACCTATCTCCTACGGAATATATGAAACGTTTAGGAAATTACACGGTCTCTTGGGCATACAGAATCGAAGGCGAGGAAGTTTTAGGGACTTGGGTAGATGAGACACTTGGGTTTTTGACACAATAATGCTTCTTGACTTATAATTTTAAAAATAGAGCAATAAAACAATACAAATCCTCGATGGTCTAACGGTCATGATTTCCGCTTGTCATCCCATACAGGAACAAGCGCGGGAGACCTGGGTTCGACTCCCAGTCGGGGAGATTTCTTTTTTGCCTTAGTTATTTCTATAACTCCTATTCTTCCTCACTTTTTCCTCCTATCTCGACTTACTGAATCCAAAGTGAAATTTAGGTGCTCGGCCACTCTCATCTTGATTGTTGCTCCGATGCTGAACAGACCCGATAATTCGCAACCCTAAGGTGCCTATTGAGAATTAAGGTATGTAGAGCGTTTCTATATATTTCCATCCTTCTCAAGGAACTGTACGGCGTGTATTCAAAACTAGAACACTCGATTATAGAAGCTGTAGTCGGGATTTTCTAGTATAAGTGTCAGCGATATATTTTGATATGCGCCTGTCAGTATTTCCTCTTTCTATTATTCATATTCATGACTGTTACCTATGAGGATATATTCTAACAGAGGGAGTTTCTGTCGTATCAAGGGCAGGGCTACGGCCCCGAGACTGACCTTCTTCTTGTAGGCTTCTGGCGGTGTCACCTCATGTAAAAAACGCTGCGTTATCTTTCATTATTTCTGCGTAGGTTAAACGATTACCTTTTAGTCCCATTGTTATATTACCTTCTATATAAATACGCAATATTCTTCAGATATCCGCTACATACGATGCCGAGCTGCTGGCCTGCTAGATAGAACTATAGTATCGATTCAAATTCGATGCATATATGCCTTTTACTGCAGTACACGGCCCAGGCGTGCTTAGTGCTACCCTACATCCAGGACTTCTCCTTCTACAGTGCCCCTACGATTCTTGTTAAGAAGGGAACATACACAGTTCATAGATCTTCTTACACTGTTTAGTAAACCGTTATGGGCCCAGTGTAGTGCTCTATGAGATAAGATACTTGTTTATAATTCGCCCCTAGGTTTCTATACTTTCAAGGAAAAAGTATGCCTAGGAAGATTAGATTTCAGGCGAGAGGTAGCGACAAGACCAACTCAGCAAGGGCATAGGAGGGCAATTGGGGGACATCTCAAAATCCTGGGTAGAATTTTAATCAAGTGATGATCTACCCATTATCACATCGACTGCTAGTATAGAGCCTCTTGCCTGTTCTAAACAAGTAGAGAGTTCAATACTATCAAATAAATCCCCAGGGAAGGCAGACATACATTTTCGAGCAATTACTACTTACTATTCTAATACATTATCTCTGGGCGTAGATTATAGCAATTTCAGGTAGAATGGGAGTGGACTGCACCATATCATTAACCTTTCATCGAACTCTTGAAACTTGTTAATCGAATTAACACAATTGTACAGCCTGTCATGGGGCATACATAGTACAACAAAAACATAGCGCATACCGTCGTACATCTTTATAATTCTGATAGTATTCCCACCCCAGACATGTTAAGCCATAATAAATCGTGCGAATATTCTTTATTCGTACTATCTGCCGGCCAGCAATGGCTAAATATTCACCTCAGTGATATAGGTAATCTAGCTTTTCTGATAGTTGGTATATTAACTACAATATCCAGTGACTGTATCAATTAGCATGGCTGGATTTATTATTATACATACTCTTACCGTTGACTATATAACAAAGATTCTAACACCTCCAGCACTCATTACCACACCATCTCAGTTCTCTGTCCTCTACTTGAGTTATCCCACTTATAAAGTCTTGTACTACTATACATTATCTATTTTTCCAAATCTCGCCCTCTGTGCTGCGGGTGAATAAGCTTAACAGACAAAGAAACCGTCGACAAGCAGAATATTGATTCCACAAAACGCTACAAATAGTAGTTGGAGTGTGTGCATCTCTAACATACCCACTAATTTCTATATTAACTTAAGTCGTATACATAAAGATGAAACAATAGCAAAATATCTCATCCTGGGTAAAATATCGAGTATTCAGTCCTGGTACTAACTAAGATTATCTTAGTAACTGGTTGCATATGGCACTTGGTATAAAATCCGTCTTCTACGTGCTGAAACTCGAACAACAACAAGATTCTTCGATATTACCTTATTCTTTTATACTCTTGAACTCCTCTGTTAATCACAGTCGGATCACCATCGCGGAACTATGAGCAACTGAGAGTGCACCAACGTGGTGGATACAGTTCACAATCAGAAACCGTAACTCCACTACTAGAACGACCACTGCAATCTAGAAAAACCTATTCAATCAAAAGAAATAAGGGCCAAGAGACCCATTGCAAATAGAGGGGCCCGAGATCATTCGTCACAGCGCAGCTAATCATAAACCTTCTCGCTATATCCCTCAACAGCCTTTGTCACCTTATCTGTCCAAAAATGATAAAGATCTCGAAAAAGCTGTTAAAAGCCACAGACGGCATTCATCCCAGAGGAGGCAGATACTCCATATAGTTTCTAGAGCCACTATGACCACCTTGACAGACAGTCGCCATTGTGAATCGTCCATGACCTTATTATGGCCTATATAACCACATCTTGAAGGGTAGATATACCAATAACCAAACACCAAGGAGGGTGGCTATTAATATCGTATACAAAGCCATGGATAACCAGCCCTTCATTGCATCTATATTCCTAGGATATAGTCACTCCTCCTTCTTCCATTGACTACTAGTACCATCCGAAGAAATCTAATCTTGTCATTAGTGCAATTGGAAAACTGGCCAGCACATCGCTCAGTTCCTTTCCAGATTATTGACCCTAGTCACATCTAAACCCAGGCATATATCCTCTAAAGTTCACTGCCGCTTGGCATCACAGTGCGTAGGTTGCCTGGGGGACACGGACAATTATTAACCCTTCTGTCGAAGGGTATGGGCATCCCTTTAAATGCCTCCCTCCATCCAGGTATCTCAGATAGAAGGCCATCAATGTTCACTCTCTCATCACACCCACCATGAACGGCTCAACCCAAGAGATTCGCGAGTATATCATTCGCCAAATCCGGGTGGTCCTTTCTAAATTTTTACAAGACGTCAATGTCGGTTCAGCCACAATACGAATACTCGGTGATACTCCAACTAGTATTCTTGACCCGAAGATTATTTAGCATCCATATATCCATTAGTTTCAGAGACCGAGGAATGCCTCAAAAAAACACCATCCATACAATACAACTCTTTTTATCGCTACCACAATCTACCGCGGAAAACACTCCTATTTTGTACTCAACCTCAATAATAACGATTATAACTATGAAACTGCTCATGAATGCAAGACAATAGTTCCTGTCTACGTCCTTCGGCTATCGAAAAGACAGCCCACAATTTTCAGAAAGCGGGAGCCGGATGAAACAATTGCAGAGACTCTTCGGGATTTGCATGATTGCCACGGTCAAGACTCTCTACCTTTGTTTGACAGTCATTATGAAGAGAATCGTTGTTACCCCCACCCACGCAGCCTGATAATATCTTCAACCGATTGAGTAAGGTCTTCTTGTGTAAGCGGGATAATTCGATAAACATGAAAATGAAATGGCTAGTCCGTAATGGTGTTTGAGATAGTTATAAGGAGTATTAGGATATTAGAATTCTGGCGATTAAAATAGGCGATTGATGCCCGACTTGGTCCGGCTGTCTATATAACATATCTTTCCACCTGACCGCTATGTAGCAAATACCGAATTCACAAATAGTTTCTAACTTCAGTAAAAAATACAAATTGGTATCAGGTCCTTATGACCGCAATTTGTTACTGTTGTCTGTTGCTGGCATGAATGAACTATATGATAAAATATTCCAAGAACAAAAGTAATCAACAACTTATAGTTGACTGGAAGTAAATGAGCGACTGCTCGGTAATAGCCCCGATATCTCTTTCTATCGGCACCATACCCTAAAAGCCAGCTAGGTAGATAGGTATCGATCGTGCGTGGAACAGCCTTAGGTGCCCACCAAGGTCCAGGAACTGCTATAAACATCAGCTTCTATGAAGTAGAGTATATCGGGAAGGATTCGTTACGTCACTGAGATCCTGGGACCTCTGCACCACATTTTTCACACTTTGGGCACTTTATCTTCGATATGGAGGTTTGTTCAATATGTACTTGAGTAGTATTGCTTGGCATATTTAAGAAAATGTGAATGCCTCTTGCATTTCTGGGTTGAGGGCGCCTACTTATACGGTAGAACGGCTTGTAGAATAGAGGTAAATTGAACGATATGAGGCTTACTTTAGATAAAGGAATGTACTGCCCGTACAGTCCGTCACTTCTACTGCCAACCAATGAGAAGTAATTTTGGGGACCTGTGAATGGCAAACTTCTGCACGCGTGCATAAACAGAGAGTTTCAGAACCTGTAGATTTATGACTTTTGGATCGCAGTACCAAATGTGTCGGGCAGCGATTCACGGGACGCGGCTTTTGCCAACTAATAGGAAACAGCCCGTCTCGAGTACACAATCTTCCCTGCCTTCAGAGTTGTACAAAGTTCCTTTTCTGTCAATTCAGAGGATAGAGCACGACATCAGGCCAATAACTGGTAGGTTCCCCTTTTCAGGATTATGCAACTTTCTAAAATATCTATCTGCTATACATTCAATCCTAATTGAGGAGCCTTACGTGAGCGGTGAGCTGTCCCTTAAATTCGTAAATATTGACTCCATCTGAGCAGACAGAGGGATTTCATCCTCTTCTTCGCCCATTTTCATTATGGAGGAGGACCCGGCCAAGGGCTGCGTTGCCTGTGGTTGGACATTGGAACAGCAGGAGCAATGTTGTTATTCGAGCCATGTCAAACTCTTCTATGGCGCGAGCCGACGCGGAGTCTGGTCAATTGGGTCAGACATAATCCTGAAAGAGCGCCCTGATGAGGGCCCAAAAAAAAGAAGTGAAAACGCTGGATCACATTTTGAAGTACCCTGATATCCCTGCTCCAAAACTTATACGTGACTGGGTTGATAGCGACGGGCGGTATTTTGTGCTCCAAGAACGAATAAAGGGAAAAACACTCGAACAAGCGTGGCCTACACTATCAGAGTCCCAGAAGACAGCTATCGCAGACCAAGTTGTCCAAGTCCGCAAGAAGCTACGGTCCCTTACGTCGGAGTCAATACAAACAGTTGATCATGGCCCATGTGAGCCAGCGCTACTCTTTCCGGACCGTGCGCCCCATGGACGTTTCCACTCTGACCTCGAACTTTGGAATGCGATTACTATTATGCTTCGTCATCCACCGGTAAGAAGTGTTGGAGAATTTGAAGAAGCGTTTACCGAAGTGTGAACCCTATGTTCTCACCCACTGTGATCTCAATCTGGGCAACCTTATCGTTAGAGACGGGGCGTTGGTCGGAATACTCGATTGGGAATTTGCCGCCTACTACCCTGTATGGTATGAATACGTCTCGGCTTCGTGGGGATGGACTGAGGATGATGCTGAGTGGAAAAGGTTGCTACAACAGCGTATGGAGGCACATGGTGACGGACATCGTGATGCGAAAGACTTCTGGATGGATCTCTGTCAGTTACGAAAGTTCCCGAACTTGGATGAAAAGGGCCAACAAGTGTTGGAAAGTCTATCTGCTGACTAAGAACTATTGACTTGTATTTGGACTTCTTCTATAGCTTCTCATATTTTGGTATTCTCGAAAAAAAAAAAAAAATCCTGAAGGTAGTAAAACAGTATCGGCTTCAGCAAGAACATTTTGTATAAAATGTGCTGAACAAAGGTATTCTAATTAATCTTATCCCAGTTCTTTCTTGGAGGTATGATTTTGAGCGAAGGTAGATAATTTGCGAGTATCCCAAGAATACAGAAAACAGCGATACATCCTTCTACCTATTGCTATATAGACTGGCGTAGAATTAAACAAAGCATTAGGGTTGCAATGACTAAGCATCGATAAGATCTACGTACAGATCACATGATTTATATCAAACTCCGGCGACCGCCCGAAAGGAGCAGTTATTGACCTGTTGTTTCCCCTGACGACTCGATTGATGCAACCATTTGCTGCCTGCGGTCGGAGCAGATCCAGCATTTATTAAATCCGGTGGCAAATATTGTCCTGGATGTATTCGTCAATGCAGCGAGGCAGGCTGCTTTCGTCTGTTGCACGACCCTGCCGATTTATTGCGCACCGCCGATATCCCGCAGTTGTCGGCTCGACTCCGCGTCGATTCCATCTTTCTCGAGGGTGGCAATCATCAGTGCCCTCAGACCCCGAAGATGCACGCGGCTCCTCTCCGGCAAGTCTTACCAGTGATATTCCGACTATAAATGCCGAACAAACAGTACCCGGACATGATGCCTCGTCAATTACATCGCCCTCCGCAGAGAGCGCCGGGAAAAAGGAGTCAAGGCCATATGGGTCGGCCGTGCGAAGAGCGTTGAGAAACAGAAAAACGCTCAAGGGATGGGCTGCGCCGACTGCAACTGTTCCTTCGTGGTTTTATGAGCGGAATACCGTGTTCAATGGAGGCGAAGGCCATGCCGCCTCAGTTCTTCCGCAACAAGTCAAGATAAGCAAACCGGAGCCGGAGAAGGTCAAGGAAACAACTGATGGCATGGCCCATGGCGGTAGTGGCAGTGGAGAGCCGTCGGAATCTAGTGGTGTGCCCGACACCGGGGAGCGGTACGCTTTGACCGAGGCGTTGTGGGAGGAGCTATGCGCATCTGCGAAGGCGGGCTTACGACTACCCCCTGCAAAATATGCGAAAGAACCTTCGGCACGAAAGTCCCATCTCGTTCTTCAGTACCCTGGTGCGGATGGCATTTTGTTCCTAGATGCGGTTGTAAAAAGGCTAGCGCAGGAACTTGGTGCTGACGTGGTGACGCTCAATGCTCAAGATATTGCGCAACTATGCAGTGAACAGGACCTGGAGGATGTCGGCACGACCTCGCCTATTAGATCTCTAGGCTATGATGTATACCGTCCAACGGCTTCGGAGTCCTGGCATGACGATAGCATGGGTGAAGGAGATGATGAAGCTGAGATTGAGATCTCTCCGCGCAGTTTGCGATCCGGTCTGAAGGGCCCCAAGTTTATCACAATCGAGAGTTCCCGAGAGGCAGGCGACATTCCTCTTCCCGGTATACTTGGCTTGAAATCGTTAGTCTCTGCGTTCAATGGACCTGTAGATGGCTCGGCAGCATCATCAAACCCGACAGATCGAGCAGAGGACCGGCGGCTCAAACTGATCAATGAGCTCATTTCCTCCGCTGGTGGACCAAGACGGAAGTCAGCCGCCGAACTACCTTTGGACAAGCCTGCAGAATCTAAAAGCTCTGAAAACAGAACACCTGTCCGTGATGTGATTGTACAGATTCAGGACTATGGAGAAATACAGGCTACTCGTGAAGGAGCTAGATTCATTTACTTATTGCAAAAAGCTATTCAAGACCATAGAAAGAATGGGTCTCGTGTTCTATTTGTTGGAACTGCATCGCAAGACGCCGCTTCAGAATCGGATGTTTCAAGACTAATGCAAAATGCATTTGATGATCAATTCTCACAAATGCTTGTCATAACACCTGCCATGGGATTGGAAGCAGCAGAGAAAGTTTTCGCGGATGATCGGAAAAAACGAACCTTGGATATCAACATCCGCCATGTTCAAGATATGCTCCGGACACGGCTGGGGGACCCTTCAGCCTTCGAAGACGACATATTCGGCAGCCGTGCTTGGCCACTTGATGCGTCCATCGTTAAAGAGTCTGGGCTTGAAGAACGGTATTGGCCCTACAGCCAGGTGCATTGGGCCACAACACTTGCACTCGGAAGTCTTGGCCCCGACGAACTCTTTGGTTTCCAGCACATCCAGAAGGGAATCGAAATGATGCAAAGAACAGATCGCATTAAGAATGACTGGATGCAAGAGAAATCACCCAAAATGAAGAGCACAGAGACTGGTAATGATCGGGAGCGGCTGTTGAGTTCATTACGCAAAACCTGCAATTCCCATGAGAAGAAGTTGCTGAGTGGGGTTGTGGACGCCAAAAGCATACGTACTACGTTCTCTGATGTCCAAGTCCCCCCAGAGACCATTGATGCCCTGAAGACACTCACCTCGCTTTCTCTCATTCGCCCGGAAGCTTTTACCTATGGTGTTCTTGCTACGGATAAGATTCCCGGCCTACTACTGTATGGGCCTCCCGGCACCGGTAAGACTCTCCTTGCCAAAGCCGTAGCTCGCGAGAGCGGAGCTACTGTCCTCGAGGTTAGCGGTTCCGAGGTCTATGACATGTATGTCGGTGAGGGTGAGAAGAATGTCAAGGCCATCTTCACATTGGCCAAGAAGCTTAGCCCATGTGTTGTATTCATTGATGAAGCTGATGCTATCTTCTGCTCGCGAACCGGAGCCAGCAGTCGCACATCCCATCGGGAGCTCATTAACCAATTTTTGCGGGAATGGGACGGGATGAATGACTTGTCAGCTTTCATTATGGTTGCCACCAACCGACCATTTGATCTCGATGATGCCGTTCTCCGGCGTCTCCCGAGACGACTGCTCGTGGATCTCCCCCTTGAAGAAGATCGGCTGGCCATCCTGAAGATCCACCTGAAGGAAGAGAATCTCGATAGTTCTGTTGACCTTGCCGAGCTTGCTCGCCGCACTCAACTCTACTCTGGATCCGATTTGAAGAACCTTTCTGTCGCCGCGGCTCTAGCCTGCGTCCGGGAGGAGAATGACCTGGCGGCTCAGCACCAGGGCGACGAGCCCTACCAATACCCAGAAAGACGCACGCTGACCCGGAAGCATTTCGAGCGTGGAATGGAGGAGATCAGCGCCTCCATCAGCGAGGACATGTCGTCACTCTCGGCGATCCGCAAGTTCGACGAGCAGTACGGCGACCGCAAGAGTCGGCGTAAGAAGAGCCCTGGATGGGGATTCACGCCTGTTAGCACCGAGGAGGCTAGTTCCGATGCTGCACGCGTACGGACATGACATGACTACAATATGGGAACATTTTAGAGGGATTGGTGTTCATTCTTGCGACAATGGGATTTGGGATCTCACGCGACGACTTGTATACTATTAGCGATATGATAAACCTGTATCAATACATACCATAGGCTGAAAAGTGACATATAATTTGTTGGATTGTATACTATCCATCCTCGTCCAAATGAAGAGCAACGGTGGCTGATACTAGTTGGTTTCCCCAGCCCTATCAGATCCGCAGAACAAAAATCGGCGATGACATCGACGAGTAAATCTCCGCCTTTTTTGTCGACGCAACCATCACCCGACCAACTCGCTCTTCTCACCCCCTCTCGAGAGAGTCACTTCGCGGGGATCAAGAAGAGGGATCTTAGAGAAAAGAGTCTTACAATCTACTACTTATTACGATTAGAATCACCATCAACAACCCAATATCCTTACACGGCCCACTTCATTTTCTCCTCACGCAACACTCCATACGACCTCTTACCCCTCACAACACGGCCACCCGCTAAACCACCAACACAAACCTCCACACGCACAGAATTTCTCCACAGAAAATACATTAAAAATGGCCACCGAAGCTCGCGACTCCGCAATTCGCGAAGCAAAACTCTACGTCCGCGAAATCGTCCGCAACGACTGGACCTTCAAGCCCTCCACCGACGCGGGCGCACCTGCATCTGCAACCCCCACGCCACCGGAGCAAGAAATCACAGCATGGCGACTACGCACATATGACAGCTCCGCATCGGAGCTGGAGCCACTTTCTTCGCCTACGATCACCAGTCCGCCTAGCGGGTACGACTCTGCGCAGATTGAGAGTCAGGTTTTGTCGCAGGCGGGGGACGAGAGGACCGAGCGGAGGCGCAAGCGGCGCAGGCAGATGGAGGAGGAGATGCAATGGAATGAGGGGCTGAGGACTTGGGTGGAGCGGCGGGATGCGTGGACCTGCGCAAAATCGAGGGAGGAGATTGTTGCGCGGAGGCAGCTGAAGCAGGCACAGGCTCTGGCGGAGGCGACGACCATTACCGAGGAGACACGCGACCAGGGTGAGTCTTCTGGGTCTGCTTTTTCGAGGCCGGCTTCGTCTTCTTCGCGGGATGAGGCGGATCTCGCGACGAGGACTGAGGCTTCCCTTTCTGTTGCGGAGAAGGAGGAATTGGGTCCGTCGTCGGTGTCTGCTCCGCCCCTGCACGGTGAAGATCAGAAGGAGTCTACTGAAACGGGGGTCACAGAGCCGGAGATTGCTCTGCAACAAACGGTGGCAGATGATGCGACGGACGCCGTCGCGAATGCTGCGACGCCCGCTCCTGCACCCGCCACCGCTGCAGCCACCGCGACTGCATCTAAAAAGGCTCACCAGGGTTCTGAAGACCCCTACGTACCCGTCGTACCCTCGCTGATCTCCGCCTCTAACCCTATCCGAGCCTCGATTACACCCGCTATGTACCCCTCCATCTACTCAAAGGTCGTCGTGCAGGGCCTAACCCCCACGGTCCCGATCAACCTGGCCGACGTCACGAAGGCAATGGTCCAAGGCTGGAAAGCAGATGGCCAATGGCCGCCCAAACCAGCTACCACCAACCTCGTGCTCCAAGATACGGCGACGGTGCCCAAGACCGCCGAGGACGGACAACCGTCATCTCCAGAGTCGAAGAGGAGATCAGGCGTCGTCGGTGCAGTCCGCAAGGTGCTACATTTCTCGGGGTTCCACCCGCACCCTTTCCATCGGCGCTCAAGCCATAGCGCTCAAGGGGAAGTGAGCGGTGCTGTGAATACCGAGAATGCAGGGAAGTAGATTTGATCTCTCTGTCGATTTCCGGGGTACGGTCTCTCTCTTTTTGTTCTTTTTCTTTTCATCTTTTACTATTTCCGTTACCTAGTTTATTTGCATGCTGTCATGTTATGGGCAACGAACGACGCACTCTCTCCCCACCTCTACTTTTCTTTTTTGTGAATGTCGACATCTATCAGTGTACTATTGATAATATCTGGGATTTGTATGATTGACGTGACGTCAGAAGTATGATCCTACCCCTTGAATGTTCCTCTACGTGTATGTATATTGCGCTTGATCTCTTTGCATAAACACCAAAGACGCATGTTTTGGACGCCATGCTTGACGAATGAAAGTGGTCATGAATCAATTCATTGAATGCGCTCCCTTTTATCCAATCAATCATACAAACAAACAAACACTAAAGTACATACATACGTGGTTCATGCTATGAGTTCTGATATGATTTCGGTAGTTCATCAATTCCATCCAACCCCAAAAACACCATGTGCTGACCGTACCAAGCAAACCACATACGCCTCTTATTAACAAAATACGCCATAATTAGCCTCATTAGATAGTGGTGGATGTGGAATGCACACTAATGGAAAGTGTCAAATGAGTCAAGAGCCCGTAGCGTATCCAAGAATTTCCGAGCAGCATCGTCGAATATTGCCAAGGGGAAATTTTCCAAATTCGCAGCCACGGATGGCTCGAGGTTGACCTCCTGCGGTTGGTGGCCGCCACGCCGAGTGAAGTAGTATTTGCCTTGGTGTCTGGACCAGCTCTCGTTGATGTAGGTCTGGAGTTCGCGCGTTGCGGAGATGCGAATCTCGTTGAAGAATGCTGGGGCGTTGGTAGGCGTGCTTTCGGATGTGAAGATGTTAGTCGGGTGAGGGATGTTTTCGGGATCGGTTATGAGTAGCTGGTCATGTAGGAATGATGTGCTAAACAGGATGAACTGGCGGAATGCTTGTATCTGGGCTATGATGTTCTCGCCCGCGTCGGTAGCTCGATCAATGTAGTCCACGACTCGCAGGGACGATGTTATCATTTCGATAAAAGAAGCAACTGTGATTACTACTGGTGGTTCTTTGAGCATGTTGATATTGTCGATGATGTTGTGCAGAGCATGATATGAGGACTGAAAGACTGAGCTGAAAATACCCACAACTGATGCAACGCAGTTCGTATCTGTGGTATCTATATGGAAGAGTAATTCTTTGAAAGTGTGCGATATGGTCTGTATGATCGGTTGACTCAACAGCCACGCACCAGGGTTGCTGAAAGCCGTCTGAAGATAGGCTGGAAACACGGATTGCAACAGGGTAGCCCTCAGGGTTGGCCTAGCCGGGTCTCCCACTTCATAAGTATGTGCTATGGAAGTCTGTAACTGGTCGACAAGGTAGACCTGCTGACCGTCTATAGCGGCTCGCTCCGAAATGCCCTGTATGAACATGATCAGGGTTTTTGCGACCTTTTCAGATGAGAGCTTCGGCTCGTAGCCCTTCAATCGTGCAACGATGTACGTCGGATCTGTTGAAGGCAAAGGAAACGAGGTCGGATCGGTAAAGAACGGGTCGATGGGGCAGATATCCCTCGTATGTTGCTGTAAGAACCCGACAATCCGGTGTACAAAGTCCACATAAACTCCTTGTGCACTTGCTGCGCTGCTACCTAGCTCCTGGTAGTTTGCTTTCATTGAGGACATCATTGTCTGGATAAGTTCACGGTACTCTTGCTTTTCAGTTGAAAGCGTTTTACTTGCTGCAATCTCCAGGTCTTGGATGTGCGCGCGCATGTTTGACAGTAGACTTGATATTAAAGACAACCGACGTTGACTGAGTTCTTCCAGCGTAATTGAGTATCGACCATGCTTTCTATCCACAGAGAAGGGTAAATTCTGCAACAGAGTATTGGTCGGATCGCAATTCAACAACGCCTCAGTCAAAGAGTGCTGGAATTTCAACATCGATACCCGCTCAACTAAGCTCGACATCCACATCCCGAGGACTTGCATCTTGCATTCAGATATGAATCGAGCATCTTTTTCAATGCAGCTTGCCAGGAACTTAGGTGTGAACTTTCTAGTTTGCACTGTCTTTCGAAGCCCCGCCCAGGAATCACCGTCGTAAAGGCTAAGATAATTGTCCCAATGCCGAAATCTATTTTTCACAAGCACTTGGGCGATAGAAGTCCAACAATCGACGACACTTAGAAGGATTGCGTCTTCCGGGCAGTGATCCTCACCAAAACAATTAGATACAAGCTGGGATACTGCTGGGTGAAGAGCTTTCTCCACGTATTCGATTCCTTGAGGGTGGGTCGCAGGAGAAAACTCATCACCGTACATTGCCTCGATGTCGGCCCAATCACCATACTCTTGGCTGTCTTCATCCACTGGCGCTGGTGGGTTTGCTGATCCAGTAGTAGAGACGGAGTTGCACTTGTGAACATAGGCCTTTAACATCTGTAGAGCCTCTGACACCGTAGTATTGACACGAGCAAGCCTAGAGTTGAAGAGCCCCAATACCATACCTATAGGTGATTTAGAAATTAGTCTGTGAGCGTGCTCGAGTGTTGGGGCTGATTGAATAGCGTTTTGTAAGCTACTCAGGGCAGTTTTCAGTAAAGACTCGATCTGTCTCTGATTCTGTGAAATCGTCCGTTCGATCAGCTGGTGAGAAAATTGATTGTCCTTTGTGTTTTGCGCTTCTATCTCCCTTCGAGCTAGCATGTGCTGTTTGATGAATTCACTAACGAAGTAACTATGCCAATCAGCAAATGCTTCTAACCCAGATACATCCTCATCTGTGGACAACTTGAAGCGCACAAGTCTAGCCCATGATCGGATGCTTATATTGCAAGTTTCGCGGTGGGAGTTGGCAGGATGCACAAGGTTCTTTATCGCCTCTAATCGAGGTCGGCACCCATCTGGGACTGCGAAGTATAAAGTGCAGAGCAGATCGTGGTGGTTTCGTAGAGCATCCAAATCTGCCTGGTGAATAGGCTGTTCTTTTGGATATACTCTGCCGTGATTTGGCAATAGGCGCCAAGCGAAATTCCGCACTTTCTTCTTATCATATAGCTTGGACAGAAAACGCAAGCCACTTGCGATGAGCTTCAAAAAGATATGGAAGCATGGGTCGCTTGGCGTGACGTCAATGGATGGGTTGTGGTCGAGCTCATCTAAAAACGAGGGAGACGTATAATTCTCTTCTTGTTTCAGATTATACAAGGTGTTCCTCGCAAAGAAATCGTAGAGCGTATCTAAGATTAGTTTGCAGTCCCTCCACCCCCAGCCATTGATAAGAAGGAAGCATCTGTGAAACAGGGTTCGGCAATAAGTATTGTAGGAGATAGAGGCTGAAGTATTAGGCTCGTAACTTTCCAAAACAGGGCACAGAAAATGTTTTACTATTGTCCAGTTGTTGCAAGTTCCTCTGAAGCGTGATCCAATTCGGGCGATTCCAAGAGCGTCAATTTCGCCCAACGGTAGGGTAGTTAATAGCCAATGCCACCTGCTTTCTAAGTGATCGATATCCTTTGTATTGCTCAGATCTCCGGTTGATAACAAAGAGTCGGCAATGAGCCCTTCAAAGCAGCCCTTCAGCTTTTCCGTACTGTACAGTATGTGCTGAACAATGACGTAGGCCTCAACGGCTGGGTATTCGTCTCGGACCCCTTTATCGCGTTGTTCGCACACCTTGTTATCTTCGAGGAATTTGCGAATATTGATTTTCCCTACTGAGTCCGAAATGGCTGTAAAGGCTTGTCTAGAAACTGACTTCACAAGTTCCAAGACTTCTTCCTTTACGCTGCCATTGACGAGGGTATGACAAGCTATCTGATAGGTTAAGTTGGCGAATACGACATTGTAGGAAGCAATTTTCGTACGATGCTCTGTCCCTCGAGCTGTCGCCGAGACCAATGCAGTTAAATTATCATTGACCTTGGAAATAAGCACATAGGCCCTCGTTATAAAGCCTGTTCTATCGATAGGATCGATGAACGTCAGAGTTTCCGTGACGTACTTGACCAGGGTCCTGTAGATAATGTAGGTGCGATTGGATGCGTTTTCAAGGGCCGCCTCAGTGGACATTGTGTCATTCTTTTCCATTTCCTCAAGCATGGTATCAAATGCAATGCCAAGTTCAGAGGACACAGCATCATTCCAAGGTCCCCACCGAAAAGTTCGATCCCCAACATTCGCAGTGAAAATGCCAGTTTCTTGATCAAGGTTACGCTTGCCGAGCTCAAGCGAGCGGTGAAATTCCCCACTTCCAATAAACGAAGATTCATGGAAAAAGGTTCCTAGGCCCAGAGGAGTGATGCCAAAATCCGTAGAGTACGAGCGTTGAAAACCACTTAGTCCGTCCGAGACTCCTTGACTGGGGTTTGCATCTTCCCCTTGCACCCGAGGAGGGTCTAGCTCTGCGGACAGGATAAGTGGATTCGTGTCCTCAGCAGTGCTAACATCCAATCTCATGGGAGTGCGTTTCTTCAACTTCCGCTTGATTTGAACTGGACGCTTTGGGAGCGATACGCTCACATCGTTCGACTCGCGCGTGAAGGTGCTTCCGCGTGACTTAGCATGGACAGCTGCTTGGCTACTGTCGACGAGAAATCGATTCAATATTATATTTCGGTCCACGGTCTCGGGTAAGCGTTTTTGCCTAGCATTTTGATTGAGTAGGGAAAGTGACCTTTGAAAGGATGGCGCTCGGGAAACGTTAAGACTCGCCATTTCTAAACCGACAGGTCTTGGATCGTTTCTTTTTAGGGAGGAAACGACAACGTTTCTCCGGACAAACCAGTTGTTGCCATACTGAATACGCTGCATAGGCTTTTTCGAAGTGGGGAGCGCTGTAGTGGGTGGTGGGGCTTCTGGATCTGGCGTTTGACTCCGGACGACGTTGATATCGTCCGGTCGTGTCGCTGGTCCAGCCGTGCTATGGTGGTCTTTGTTTATTTCCCCAGATCCAAGATTTCTGGGTCCAACTTTCTTGTTTGAAGAAAGATCCGCCAATGGTGGTCGCCTGGGGGCCTTTGCTTGAGCCCTGGGCAACTTCGACTGCCGAATACGCCCGGCGCGCCATTCGCGTAACGATGTGTTAGCATCTTCTGTGTCTAGAGCTGAACTCATTTTGATGACTTTGTTTGAAGGGCTTCGTCTGCCTTTATCCTGACGAGACCGTGCTTTGCGAGCAGCGACTCTGAGGAACTGTGGCTGCTCGTTTCGAGGCCGAGAAGCAACATCGGGAGCATCCAATATACCAAGCTTCGGAGGAGTGTGTGAGGGATATTTCTTTTTTTCCCGCCTGTAGATGGGATCCGTAAGCCTAGCTTGTTTCTTAAGGCGAGGCCGCTTAGGATGGCTGTCAGAACGAGCAAAATGGCTCTCAGGCCTTTGTCGTTTTTGGCCTCCCTTTTGGGTTCGAGGAGCTGTATTTTCACGTGTTGCTGATGGAAACATATAATCGATGCGATTGTCTTCTGGAATGTCCTCGCCCATATCTTCCGCTAGGAATGTGTCATCGAATCCAACCAAGTTGGCTAGTATCTGTCGCGCATTGGTTTGACCCCCATTGCGGTCATCTTCATCCGTATCACTACCATCAGACTCGGCAAGATCTCTCAGTGATGCCAAATGCTCGACCGGGTTTGACGAAGTTGAGGGGCCAGTTCTCTTAATTATCTTTTTAGCGACACCCTTGGCGTTTTCTATCCTAGAATTCTTATCGCGATTTCGCTGTGTAGAACTCAGCTGTGCATCCTTTTGTCTCTGTTGGTCTAACCGCAGCCACGACGCCGGAAGTACACCTTTGATTCTACGTTGAAGTTCACGAACGTCCTCTTCAGGCTCCTCTCCTTCTTCATCCTCTCCATCATTCTCCGAGGCGGAATGAGAATGTTGAGAGGCTGTCGACCGAACATCAACAGGCTCTCCATCAACGTCAGATCTGGACCCGTAGGCTGTTGTAGTGGCATCTCGCCCTTCCCGTCTCGGGGCTGTATTAGGTGTGTTTAACGTAGGCGGCGTGAACCCACGAGGGAACCGAAACTCAGCGGGATTCCATAGGGCCTGCGGGGAGGAGTTACTTCCAGAGCGTGGCGGACTGGGCAGTATGTCACGAGCCAAGCTACTGTTCAAGTTGATAGGAGATGCACGGTTGGTTATTACCACTGTAGGCCGGGGCTGGTGGCGTAATAAGTTCCGATGATCGTCTGGCCTTGACACTTTACGCCTCTTAGGCCCTCTGATCTCGTTCTCAGATAGGTCCTGATGGAGCGAATGCGGTTGACTTCCATGAAGATCTTGAGGTGCTTTTCCTGTAGAGATAGAATTTCTTTCCGGCGGAGACGATGGTGCAAACTCGAAGTCCGCAGTAGGGCTGCTCGAAGGTGGCAGGGTGCTATCAAAGCTCTGTCCTTGGCCTTCAGCCGCCGCCTGCATTGCTTGCTGGTATTGAGCGGCGGGTACTGGTTTAATCCCTCTTGCCTTCATAAGCTTTTGGTATTTCGCATTCTCCAAAAGATACGGGTGTAATTGGATGGGATTGCGCTGCCGTAAAGACCTTCGTGCTGGTTGAGACATCTCTCGCAGTATATCTTCTGGGATTTCAAGAGGCGGAAGCAACGCATCTAGGTTGCTCTCCGGCGGTGGACTCTCTGTATTCCCTGTATTCTGTTGATCATGTTCATCACCTTCACCCAATGTCGAAGAGTGGAGGGACGACAGTGGTGAAGATAAAGGCGAAGGGTCGGCATTTTCGTTATCCTTCTGTTGCTCGCCAGTGCCTGGCGCTTTCGAATGAAGGCCGATCGACCTCCGGGAAATCAGATCGACCAGCTGTAGTTCGTCTGGTGAAGAGCTCTGTACCTCCCATATGTCTTCGGATTGCTCTCTTAGCGGGGTCGACGGTGGGCTTGGCCTTGGTCTTGGAGTAGCGGATAGAGTCGGGGATGGATGCGCCTTTCTCGTAGGCGTGGCAACCTCATCATCGAAGTCTTCTGATAGCGGTTCTGTAGCGATATCCCTAGCTTGCTTGTCGGGCACCTCTTTAGCCAAAGACTTCGCTTCCTCATTTGCCTGGACAGGCACATTATCAACATCTGGACTGGATATGACAGGTCGGAAATTTTCAACAATGCCGCCTTGGGAGCTATGGTGGCTCTCTTCCTTGGTGTCTTTACCCTCGGGGGCCTGGGGAGTCGTACCCAGCGTATCGGGTGTCGGGGATGCTCCAAGCTCATCGTCACTACCATCGAGATCCTGGTTCACTTTTTCCGGGCTGTCCAACCCATCATCCTCGTCTGAGTCCGGTACAAACCCTCGTTCCCGCCATGATTCCATTTGCTTCCTTGGCGCTGATGGCCCATCTCCCTAATACCCCATTACTTCGTAGGCGGACGCTGTAAACAAGGGATCTCCGTGCCCCCAAATACTAATTGGAGATAGATATCACCACTAACATAAAATCTGTTTGAAGGGATTAATTACCAATAAGTGGTGGTCAATTGAGAATGACTTAAGAGTGGATGTCGGGAAGACGCGTTGAAAATGTGGGGAGACGTGACGGAGATTATTCATGGCGGAACTTTGGCGATTGATGCGGTAAAACTGTTAATGACTTCCTACTCCGGACATCCTCCTTGGCTTCATTTGTTTCCCGAGAAACGATCTTCCTCAAAGCAAAGGAATTGTGCTAGACATTTTCTGTTCCACAATTTCCATCTGATAACACTATGAGTCGAAACTGGATTCCGGCGCTTGTAGCCATTGGAGTGGGAGTCTTTTCAGGTCGGTACTGTTCAGAATGCAGAGAGCCTCCACTAACGTCGCTCCTGCACTGCAGGCTATTACACCTTCCAACCTTTACTGAAGGATCTGCAGGCGGAGAAAGCAGGTTTCCAGCGGTATGTCGCTTTACCTACATTGAGGATAGCCTGTCCTTCGCCCCTTCCATGAACTGATACGATGCCGTTGGATATTTTCAGACTCCAACTAGGAGAGCGAGCACAAGCCCCTAACGGCGCTCAGACCCCTACTGCGAACACAAACGAAGGCTCGAATGCTCCAGTGACGCCAGATACAAAAACCACCCAGGCCGGGAATCCAAAGTAAATAAGCAAGGGAGAATATCGGCTCAGTGGCACTTCCCTAGTGCGATGCCCCCCAGGTACACAAGTGACCTGTCAGAGCTCGCTCCAGCAGATCCCAATCTCAAAATTCTGAAAACGGCTCCCATGGAACGTATAGAGCGAGTGGGAAAAGGTCCGCGTCAAACAACACCTACCACCCTTTTCTGACAAGTAAGTCGGTCATTGGCTATTGAACCCTCATGGTTGACCATCAAGGGTATGTGCATGGTAAAGAAGATGATCCCAAGAGCAATAGATCTTGGAATCTAGTTTGTGGTGGCTCAGTTTGCCTACGAGCAAACATACAAGTAAATATCTCTGCAATCTTGTAACTACTCGCAATTCATAGATATTATTCGGTATTAAACATGTATTATTTATCATATTTCACCAGCGTTAACCTTCCAACAATCATAACTGAAAACAGCCCTATTTCCTATATAAACTCCCCCTGAACCGGGTATGCCAATCACTAGATACACAGTAAGACGATGAACGGGCAAACCAGACTTCTTCAATATACAGCCCAATCCCATTTAACAAGACATTGTAAATAGACCCACGGTGTTAAACTTGACTTTTCCAGATACGCCAGTTCCGTTTGCACCTGACTTCCAAACTAATCGGTTATACTTCTTCCACCAGCTTTCTAGGCCCACTGCTTTCCAAGGGTGTTTCCCCAAAGACTCGTCCTGCGGGAGCACCAAGCCATTCCTCTGATACAATGACCTTGCTCCCCTCGCGTCCACTAATCCATCTGACCATAGCTGGGTCCAGTCTCTCGAATTCATGCGTCTGTTGCTCTGCAGAGGCTGTTTCAGCCGCTTCAGCAGCCGGAATCCGACCACGCCTCTTCGGGGCTTGCTTCCGTAGAAGCCGATTGATCGTATCCATCTGTCCTCTTGCGTCAGTGTTCACTGCTTAACAAGTAAAAATAATTTTGGCCCTGATAGCCATCCAATAGGAAAACAAGACTTCAGAGTGCGCACCTTTTCTTCTTCATTTCGCTTTTCGCTAAGGTTCTTTCTTCGGCGAGCCATTTCCGCACGGCGCATGGCGCGCTCTTCTGCGGTCAAATGCTTCTTGACTTGTGGTTCTGTGCTGCGTTAGGCACTTGCCCTAAGACAGCTTCGCAAGACTTGTAGAAGACTTACCCATTGGGAGTTGCAAAAAATCGTTGCCCAAGTTACCCCTTTGGCGTTTGGTCATCCGGGCAGGGTCGGCAGTAGGAGTATCATCATCACTGTCGAGATCTTCCTCGTCCTCTTCATCCTCATCTAGGTCCTCCTCGCCCCCATTGGCGTTTCCAATTCCACTCTCTTCCTGATCGTCAGGCTCACCTTCGGCATCAGATTCAGGATCAGAGAGCTCCTCGTCATCTTCATCATCATCATCGGCATCTCGTTCCATTTCTTTCGCCTCGACGCCTTTCACTGCTTTAGAATTGGACGCGGCGGATTTGGCGTGTCTTTTTGACACTGGAGGTTGCGGAGGAGCATCATCCATGTCTAAATCTCCATCTGCGTCTGCATCCTCATCGTCCTCACCGGGAGCATCTTCATCGTCCACTTCATCTTCTTCCTGATCGTCCAGATCTTCGTCGCTCGTATCAACTTCGACGAGCTTCTTCTTGGGCCGGCTAGTCCGTGGCCCTGTAACTATGGGGTTTTCTGTGAAAACGTTGACGGAGCGTCTGGAGGCACCATTTCTTGTATTACTACTGGTAACCTCGCGCAGCTTACTTGAAGGCATCTTGACAGTCAAACGAATAGATCTCCTTGACTCCTCCGGAGAGTCTGAGGGAGACCGGAAGACGGTCACTGATGAAGATGCGACAGCGCGAGTAACTCTGGCTGGGGTTCTGGGACTTGCGTTAGAATCCAAGTCTGGTGGATCATCCCGCACAGGGCGGGAGCGAAGTGAGCGGCGCAGAGACATGATCGATCGACAGGATTGACTTGATACGGGGTATGGATGGGAAATTGATCGAGCAAAGGGTATAAAAGGTAACAAGATGAACTCTCAAAAATCGACCAACGAACTGAGTTTGTAAAAATGCAAACAGGAACAGTCAGGGAAAACACAAAATGAGGCGGGGGTTTAGTCTCGTATAGGTGGACAATAGTAGTCAGAGGATAGTCAACAATAAGGCTATCTGAGATGGTTGTGTCATCTGACGGTGAGGCAAGTTCGGTCGTGGAGGAGATACAGAGGGGAAAGGAGGGGAATGATTGATGGACAAGGAAACAGCCATGCGGTAGTTATGACCAACTGACTACGTGGGCCAGTACAGAGAAGTGGTGGTGATGCAGTTCGGGAAGGCACAGGCCATCAATCCCTATCACATCTTTTGACGCCACTTGAAACTTCCCATCCGACATGAAGGACAGAACCAATGGGAACATTCTGGACTAAGATATACACCAGTCAAGGGCGGGAGCGCGGTGAACGCAGCGTTGGTGCGTTTTTTCTCCTGCAACCCCGACAGGATATTACTGTCCGTTCTGTGCGCGGTGGACAGGGATCCCTGACCGAACGAGGGGGGTGGATACAACTTTAATATGATCGGAGAAAAGTGAAGGCCGCGATGCGATAAAAATAAATCATAATAAAAAAAGGGGTACAGTAGTAGATAAAACCCACGGGTAAAATGGGTGGGCTGTTGCCCTGAGTACATGGATCCATGTATGTATACGAAAGGGAATAAAGGGAAAACTCACAAAGGACAATGTCGGATCGGTGAGGTACGTACCACCCAATCGTCTCGAAATTGACGCTTCTGTATATATTTCCAATCGTTGCTGGAGGATCAATGTATATATTACCCAGTCGAACCAATGACTCGCACAGTCCCTGATGATCTTGTTGGTCTATTCCTGTCGCAAATGAACGATGGGAGACAATCGGAACCCGTCATGTTCATCGTTAATTCTGCCGCCAGGCGGTATCTCAATCCCCGACCGCCTACCGTAGACGGGGTTGCCATGTGGGCCAGCATTACCACGCATGACAATACCGAGATTCAACCTTCTCCGGAGGACAGCCGAGGTCGCCAGAGGTCAAAGCATTACTTACTAGCAACTTCTCCCTCACATGGTCGTCGAACTGCCTATCTTTCCTGCCTTCCTCACTTCTTCCTCTTCCAATTGATTGATTTCATGGTAGAATCAATTCATTGTATTTAACTCGTTCTTTCATCCCTTTTAACACACCATGGCTGATTCTAAGCCCAAACCCCCTTCAATCCCCGAATGGCAACGGCCCTCCGCCACCAACTCCGCCTCCGCATCTTCGCCGAGCTCCGATGAGGCTTCACGATCGGATCTTCTACAACAAGCGACCAAGTTCTTAGAAGATGAGTCCTTGCGCGACGCACCGCTAGACCGCAAGGTATCCTTTTTGGAATCTAAGGGTCTCCGACAAGATGAAATTGACAGTCTGCTGGGTGTGTCGCGAAACTCCGAGGCAACCAGCAGTACGGCTGCAATCGAGAGCGATAACAAGACCACCGAGATTAGCACCACGAAGGACACACCAAGCGACGCTGCCTCTTCATCGCCTTCTAATTCGACATCTCAATCATCCTCTTCCCCTGCCGCCACCACCATCCGCAATCGGCAATCCTCGTCCGCTCGTGACGTTCCACCGATCATTACTTACCCGGAATTTCTCGTCAACCAGCCCAAACCCCCTCCACTAGTGTCTCTTCGCAGCCTCCTCTACACTGTCTATGGCGCTGCAGGCCTAGGAGCTACTATGTACGGTGCAAGCGAATACCTCGTGAAGTCCATGATCGCCAACCTATCAAGTGCGCGACACGAACTGGCCGAAACAGCCCAGGATAACCTGAAGAAATTGAACGAAAAGCTGGAGCAAAATGTATCAACCATTCCTCCTCAGCTCACGGCTCGTCACACTCAAACTACTGGCTCCAACTCAGATGATGAGACCGAGTCTGTCACATCCGACCCGGCGGAGCTATTCCACCGTGACGTCGCTGTCCAGACCACGGAAGATTTCAGTCTTGAGAACTCATCCTCGTCAGCTGCGAATACCGCAGACGCAGAATCGTTCGACCCCAGTGCAGCTGTGAATACACATGTAAAGCGACTTGAAGTCATCAAGTCGCATCTCCAAGAATTCTCCGAGACTGAGAAGCAGTCGAGTACGAGCGATGATACTGTTCGTACTAGCCTCAACGAGCTAAATCATTACCTCGATGGACTACTATACAGCAAAGCTGGCTATGGCCCGGGGACCGGCTACGGGGTCTATAGTACGCCCGGCTTTGACAGCAGCGGAAACGCGGCTGGCTTGGGTAAAGGCGAGGAAGACGCCATATCCAACTTCAAGGCTGAAATTAGAGGTGTCAAGGGAGCTTTGTTGAGTGCCCGGAACTTCCCTGCTAGCCGGGGACCGAGAATCAGTAGTGGTATCGGCAGATAAAGGGGGGTGAATAATTCTTTGGTTTGAGGTGACAAGTCAGTATTATGTGAACATATATGTTTCTTCTTGCTTTTCTTTCTTTGGCTTGGTTACGGGAGAGTGTGTCGGTTTCCAGCAATGACCAGCATGGCGTTAGGAATGATTCTGTGTACAATGATATCGAAGATGTCTGCTATACTTCGATTGCAACGTATGCCTTGACGATGGTCCATATTTAACAGTTTGTCACACATAAGAGGTAGATATATTTTTAGTGTATATATATAACTACACTTCGCATCCTATAAAGTCATGCCGAGTAAATCAATAACTGTGCCGAAGCTTTGTGATCAGGTATTCAACACCCCAACAGCAGTAGATTCTTTTCGTACAGAATAATCTAGCATGGAATCATTCCAGAATGGCTCTATATCGAAGGTTCTCAATTATCCATAAGGTGTTACGAATATATTATTCTAGTAGGAGTTGCTTTCTCTAAATACCTGTATTCCTGAAATGCCTCGAGAGCAGCTTAACCGGTGAGATAACAATTTCTGTGAAATGACTGGAAAGGTTTCATACTGATTTCGCTGTAGGTTCCCGAGGCGTCAGGCCGCGCATATCAATAAAGCCGCTTTATATCTCATTGTTTCTATATACGGCCGTCTGCGATGATCTTAACTCTTGAATCAAAGAAGAGGTTTTTCCTTGTTTAACTTCATATAAATCTGTATAAGGCTTTTTGGTCTCTCAAAATAGATAGGTTTAGTCTGCAACTGAACTATCAGATTCAGAAGCTTGTTCACAGTTTGAATTATTCTACATACTCCGTGCTATTTGATGCTTACAAATTTATACGGACAACCCGGCTTTTGAAGAGGGCTTTGGCGTTTCTTCTGTCTTTACAGCAGTATGCGAGGGGCTTGAAACGCTTTAAAGTCTGGTTCTAACGTTGAAAAATACAAATTTGGTGTAAGATCTACTGCTGGTATTCCGAGGATCATGAATAAACAATAAACATAGTAATAACATTTAGACAAGAAGAACAATTTCTAGACCAATACCTGAGAACATCACACTACTGGCCTTGAACGTTGACCAACAACTACACGAAACACATAGACCCTTCTTCTCATACGCACAACTCATGAAAATTGCCTCATACACTGGTTATATGCCGTAGCCCTTTATGGGGTAGCCTTGCTCATGCTGATGAGACGCTTCACACCAACCTATTTATCCGGTTAGAACAAATCAAATACAAGACATGCAAATGTATTGGAAAACTTACCATCCACTGACCGCATTCGTCAGTCCTGTTTGTCAGGATATCCACGTGGATAGCACGTGCCGCTTCGTAATCACGCGCCTGGATGGCACGGGCCAAGTCGGCCATGTCAGAAACGGTGTTTGGCTTGAGTAGATCTCCGTTGTTCAGGTGGTCGAACAGAAGGTTCAACCGCCGATCAGCATCTTCAACTTGTTGCTTGAATGATGTAGGCGCACGGCCCTTGATGCGCTGCATATCCGCCGAAAGGATCTCATAGATAGGCATTGCGTCTTCAGAGATATGGGAACGATCACCAGGTGCTAGACACGTTAGATGGATGACGTGAGGCAATTCAGAGTTACTTACGATACTTAGGAGTCGCAGGGGCCGGAGTCACCTTCTGTTGTGAAGAAGCTGTCCCGGGCCTAGAGGCTGTGGCTGGAGGTGGTCCCTGCTGCATTGGTGGTGGGGGATGCGATGGTGGTGTGCTGGGAGCATACTGGCTCGCCACCGGAGGCTGGGGAGCATATGGTGAGGCAGCTGCCTGTGGAGGTGGAGGAACAGGGCCCCGTGCCTGGAGCTGTGGGTTTGCCGCTTGAGCTGCTGGGCTCGGAGCGTACCGGTTAGTTGGGGGAGGCATAGACGGCGGAGCGTTGTAAGGAGACGGGCCACGTGCAATTGGCGCCGGTGCTCCCATGGGGCCGGGGGTTAGCTGAGGAGGGGATTGAGGCAAGGATGCATAAGGGTTTGGAGGCGGAGTAGGTCCGGGGGGGATAGTAGATGGTGGAGAAGTCACCCGGGGAGGTGGAGCAGTGCCCTTTGGCGGAGGGGGAACCGAGGGTGTCCGCTGAGTAGGTGGAGCTCCGGGTGGTGGAGGTCCCTGAGCGATTGACGGGGACTGGTTCGGGAATGGCGAGCTGATAGGTGCAGCAGCTCCGGCGGGAGTTCCTCTCCGGGGTGTCGGAGCCTTCGCGAAGCCTTCGGGAAGATCGTTCCAAGCAGGGAGGTTGGTAGCTGTAGTGTACGTGGTAACAGTGGCGGGGGATTGATTCGACGCGCGTGGTGGCGGAGGAACCGAACCACCTAGGGGTTTAGCACCATAAGACGGTGCCGGCGTGGGCTGGTATCCTGCGGGAGCATAGCTGCCTCCAGAAACCGGCGCATATGGGTTAGTTGGCTGTGGTGGGGCAGCAGCACCAGGCGGGGCGTAAGGGTTCGAAGCAGGGGCCGGAGGTGCGTATGCATTCGTGGTAGCAGCCGGAGGTGCGTACGGATTGGTAGCAGGGGCCGGGGGCGCATACAAGTTCGAAGCAGGAGCCGCAGGAGCGTATGGGCTCGGAGCTGTGGCTGGCGCAACAGGAGAGAATGTTCTTTGAGGCTGGTAAGCGTTGGTTGTGGGAAGAGGCTTGTTCAGTGGCGTCCCACGACCAGTAGTCGTTTGCTGCGTCTTCTGAGCAGCTGGTTGCCTTGTCGCCAGCTTGATACGATTCCTTGCAACCTCAGCTTCGGGGTGCTTCTCCGGAACGAGGTCCAAATACTTCTGGGCTACTTGTAGTCGTCCGTGAGTAGCGACCACATCAGCATACTCAATGTACTTATCGTACAGGTTGCTGAGCTTCCAGTCGGACTCCTTGGTACGCTCAGTGTCCTGGAACTTGGTGACCTGGCGGAAAATTGTCACCTTCTCGATCAGCCCTTGCAAAGCACGAACATGGATCGAGAAGGAGTTGTCATTTGCGGCTGTTTCAAGGGCCTTCTGCTCAGTCTCGCGAAGCTCCTCGATCCAAATCGCGACAACCTTCTCCAGCTTAGAGCCAGCCAGGAAGCAGAACGAAGCATCTTTGCGAAGGCTCTTGTCGTCCGAAGCCCGAATTTGTTCCTCTAACCGGTCACCGAGGGCGTCGCAAAGATCAGCAAATTCCTTTTCTTCAGCAAAGGTGCACAACGCTGCCATAACTTCCTTCCAGTTAGATAGATCTGCGTTGTACACAACATCCCAAAGGTTCTTGCCAACAATGGATGCTAGCAGGCGAACATAGTTCGGGCTCTCTGTCTGTTTGGAGAAGTAGTGCTCCTGCGCCTTTGCGATGCACTTCTGACCCCCACAAATAGCAATCATAAAAGCATCGGACAAACGATCTTCCTTGAGAGCGACATCCAGTGCCTTCTCAAAGTCACCGAGGAGCAACGCCCTCGTGATGCCCTTATCTGCTTCTGTCTCGGAGCCATTAAAGATGTGGAATGGGTTGTTAGTCTTCGCTCCCTTCGACGCAGCCAGGTCTGACAAGAAGTTGTCTGCTTCAGGACTTGCATCGAACATTGATTGTAGGCGCTTGTGCTTCTTCGCCCCTGGCCCGCGGGATTCTTTAGGAGACTCTCCATTGGTTTCCTCCTTGCCCAAGCCAAGGTTAGCCAGCTTGTCAGCAGCCTCATCGGCAGATTGGTCCTGGAACCCAAGATATTCGGCAAGTCCCTTGCGGGGATTCTCGGAGATCAAAGCCTCGATGACCTTCCAGTCCGCCTTTTCTTCCTCGGTGGCAGCGTTTGCGGCTCTGGTTTCGCAGATGCTTCGAAGATCGCCCTCCTTGAGAGCATTCTCAAAGGTCTCAGTAGACTGCCCAACAGCCTCATCTACTTCGAACGGGGTGATCTTAATCTTGGAGGCACGTTGGCCTTTCTCCACCAAGTTGACAGAAACAACCCTGCCTCCAAAACCGAAAGTGGCGCCACAGGGTCTCTCAAGCCACTTAGGGGCCTTGGGCAAAGAAAAGCTCGAGACCTGCGGCTGGGTCTGTGCCTTCGCAAAGAAGTCCTCCCCATCAAGTGTCTGGTTCTGGTCTGCGATAGCTTGAGCAGATTCGGTGCTGGTGTTCTGAATCGTCTGGACCGCGATCTTGCCATCGAACGAAGCAGTGGCGAAGAAGTTGGGATTATGGGGGTTCCACCGGGTCTGGAAAGTCCAGTTTGTGACGACAGGAAATTCGCCATAGGGGTTACCTGTTTGGGGGTTCCAACAGAGCGTGCGATTGTCCTTTCCAGAAGAGAGAAGCAGGTCGGGATCGTGGCTACACCATGAAAGCGATAAGACGCCAGATTCATGTCCTTTAAGGACCTATGGAATGTCAGTGATACCCAAATCCCTTTGTGCTGACGCCAAGATGCCCAAGCTTACCCTTTCTGGAGCATGGGAATTGCGGAGATCCCAAACATAGATCATGGGGTCCGATTCCAATGGTGTCGCTGTAACGAGTTTCGTAGGCTAGATCATGTTAGAAGCCACACTAGTTTCCAGGGTGATGGATTTAAGCATCTCACCTTCTCAGGATCCCAAGCAACGGCGCTGACAGCTTTACGACCCATATTGTTAAGAGTCAAACTCTCCTTCTTCGTTTTGACATCCCAAACAGTGACAAATCCTGCACTGCTACCGGTGACTAAGATATGTGCAACCTTCTTATTCCAATCCAAACACTCAATATCATCCGCACGGGCAGCGGTACCAAGTCGATATGGGTTTGCGACATTGTTCAAATCGGATATGTAGAGCTATTCCAAGCTATCAGCAATGCATTCCTGCGGGTTCTCAATCCTGACGCAGTCCAGTACCTCTCCTTTTGCACCACCGGTGGCCAACAGATTGGAATGTCTGGGGTTGAATTGAAGGGCCTTGATGGCGCCTGAGTGTTTGGTGGTTCTCGAGATCACGGCGTCGTCACTTTCCGGTAATCAGCCAATGGGACTATATATGAATGACGGTTTCATCTGCAACACACCTCGATCCATTGATCAGCTTATCGGCGTCCCACAGGTCCAGCGACCCGCTCTCCAAAGCTCCAGCTATTACTCCCCGTGTGTTGTCCTCGGATGGGGTCCACGCTAGGTCATTGAAACTATATAAACGGTCGTTAGTACATCACACTTGCATCGTGAATTGAGGGCGAAGTGATAAGTACCCGGAGTCGGTGTCAAACTTCGCAATCGGCTGCAACTCTTCGCCGGTACTCTGACGGTCCAGGCCCAGGTCCCACAGCTCGAGACATGTTTCATTGGAGAAGTCAACGTCGACTGCGCCGGCCCGAGTACCGGTAGCAATCAATGGCGATGCTGCACCGGGAGACCAGGCAAATGTGGCCGTCCGGGGAATCTCCCTCAGACGAACCATGGTGAAATGAAAGGAGCGGAAGTAACGAGAGGTACTATAGATTAGGAGATAACCAGACTATGGAGCGGTCTGGCAGCAACTATCATAAAAGGGGAATCGACAGATTATTAGAACTAAAAGACGAAAAAAGATGTTTCCACACGTAACCTCCCCTCCCTAACGAGACCAGAGGGGTGTATAGAAGTTGCCAAGTAGCAGCGGGATGCGATCGAAACGTCAACTGCACAGTTCCTAATCAACCAAGTGTCCTCCTGGAGGGACCGGGGCGATTGGCGCCTAACCTGTTCGGGCGCTCGCCAAAACACCCGCGGAGGCACGTGATATCAGTTTGCTCGGTCCAGAAAGTCTAGGCAAGGTATCATCCGCCGTGGAGAGCTACGGAAGAGCGTGATATTTGTGACTGGGGCAGAGCCCTCTTACCATTAGCTACAACTCTATGGTGCGGTGACCTCTCCGGCTGTAACACAACCGAGCTTCCGACCAGATATACACCATGAGCGAAGCGGCGCGCTTGAAATCTACCGTCTATGTGGGGGGTCTCGACCAGGCGGTTACTGTGCAGACGCTGGCCGAGGCATTTGTTCCCTTCGGCGACGTTGCTGATATCACGCTCCCAAAGCCCGACGTTCCCAACTCGAATGAGCTCCATCGCGGGTTTGGCTATGTGGAATTTGATGTACCCGAAGATGCCAAAGAAGCGATCGACAACATGGATGGAAGCGAGCTCTACGGGCGTACGATCAAGGTTGCTGCCGCAAAGCCGCAGAAGGACAGCAATGAAGGTCTAGGGAGCAAGACGGCTATCTGGGAACAGGTTTGCAGGGCGATTCAACTTCATTACGGGCAGGTTTCTAATTACGTATGTGCAGGAGGGCTACTTGGCCAAATACGCAGTCGACGAGGAGGATAGGTTGGCGGCAGAGCAGGCTCAAACAGCAGCCAATGATGGTTCTCACGACCCTATGCAAGGATTGGAAGAGCTGGACGTCGCTGGTCCGAAGCCCGAATAAGCTCTAAAGACTCGAATATCATGAGACAGGAAGCCGTACAACAGTAATATTGCAATATTACTCCATCAGAACCCTCCGTTCAAGCGGTACTATATACACGCGCTCCAACCGAGTTTTTTAAAAGTTTCAAATTCTCCCGCGACATCAACTTTCCCGTGAATAGTACAGACCGCCGACAAAAATCACACCAAGGATCGCCATCGCAATTGAAATATGGTAATACACTTTAGTGCTCACGGCTCTCAGGGCTGTTGCGGCTAAGACGGAGAGTCTTGTCGGTCATGAGCTTCTTGCCGCTGGAGTAGATAGCAGCTCCAACAGCGACGCTAGAAGAAATTGCGTCAGCATAAGCGCATGTTTAGTCTGGGGAGGTAGCAGCTGGGGGGATTGATCATGTAATATAGAGTTCAGGGAATCTCAAAACAGTAAACATACCCAAGGACGATACCTAATGGCAGAACGGTTAGACACATTGTGTTCCATGGAGAAAGCTTTAAATCAATGACATACCGAGAGGAATCAACTCTGGGGGGACCCTCTTGAGGGTGCGCAGACGCTGGGAGATAGTGTGAGCTGTAGCTTTCAGTTAGTCCAATTCTATCCCTAGGCAATCCTCCTGTAATCGAGACTCAATTGCAGGTCGTTAGGGTTCCCATACCGCTCTGGGCCTCCTTCTATAGCGATCGTTAGCACACAGGACTCGAAGCCGTTTTTTCCCGGGCCGAAGAACACCAAAATAGACTTACAGGAGTAGGGAAAGCAAAAGGCCGAGAGGCCTGCATCCGCATGACACGAGTGGGGAACATGGTGAAGGTGGACGTTGAGGTGGGAGCAGAGATGGTGGTGGGATGAAGATCAGATGTGGTGACGGAAGCTCACGACGTTTGAAGGGAGGTTTGAGTAGTACTGCCTTAGGCTGGATTCGGGTGTTTAGGAAATCTTGCCGCATGAGTGGCTCGCTAGACCGCCCGCGGTCACTCCCGGATTCACTGCTTCACGGGATCATTCCACCACTCCACTGGCGCAAACCTCACCCCATCTTCCTTCTCCAACTCCCCTCTCACCCACGCCCAACCCACCCCATATACCTCTTTTAAATTTCCTCTAGAGACCTTTCTGTCTCCTCACAGTCAAAATGGGTGCTATTCCTGAGGCCGATCCCGATGAGCCTATGGAGACCAAGCCCTTCAAGTTCGTCACAGGTGAGCTCAATCGCAGCCAATCTTGTGGCTTAGAGCCTCAAATCGGAGTCAATTGCTAACTTAAGTGCAGCTGGTACGTGATCATTAGGTCTATTACCGATTGGATCGCTCGCAATGCCGCCGCAGTCGAGGTTTTCATACTAGGTGGAGTCCATATGTGGTGCTGACAACTTCTGGTGTAACAGGCTATGATGCTCGCTTCCCCCAGATGAACCAGTACGTAAACCTTAAATGATATACGACTCAATTCCTTCCATGCAACTGCTAATTCCTGTCTTCACCCCAGGACCAAGCACTGCTGGCAAAACTACGTCGACTACCACAAGTGCGTCACCGCCAAGGGCGAGGATTTCCGTCCATGCCGTCAGGTATGTCACCTCTCTTCCGTATCCCCGACGTGGGACCGAAAGAAAACCAATCTTGCACGTAAAGATAGATGGGCTAACCACTGATCCAGTTCTACCACGCTTTCCGCTCCCTGTGCCCCAAGGCGTGGACTGACCGCTGGGACACCCAACGCGGTATGTAAATTTCTTTTCCTCATGGTCCAAATTGCCCATCAGCGACTAATCTTACTCCAACAGAGGCTGGAAACTTCCCCGTCCGCCTGGACCACTAGACGAGTAACAAGTCATTGTTGATTGATTTTCCAAGCATTTTTTGTGTCAACATGTACTCTACCTGATCAAAACGGGAATACAAATCCGTCCCTTGGACTGGCTCGGGAGAAAGATATATATAGATCCGCCGTAGCTGAAAATCCATTGTGCCCCTATTCTGGTCTATCTCTTGTCCTTCGCATATGTAGAAGAATGTACGATTCGCCTTATGGTACCAGCAATTAGCGCCTCTCATTCCAACCAATACTAGTAGAGATATCGGTAAGCGGAATATGCAAGAACGGTTGAGCTAATAGCCGCGAATGACAACCCAGTAGAGTTTATTCTTCTATGTAATATCCGAAGCAACAAATCATTCTATCTATTCCAACTCAACATATAGCCAACATATAGCCAACAAAAACCAGTGCTGCAACCGCGAAGTCACTTTCGGCACTGAGACAGTCTATGATAGATAAGCAAATTGCTGAAGCAAAGGACCGATACCCGGTATATTTAAAAAAGAATCTCCCAATATAAGAGTATCTCGGTGCAGCCAAAGGACAGCACACGTAGAAATCGAGGGGCCAAAGAGGCCAACCAAATCACACAGAGGCGTGAAAAAAAAAAAACAAAAAAAAAAAAACAAAAGAAGCACACACAGAAAAGGTATGTACACCAGATAAAACGAACTTTTTTGCCACCCAATGCTTTCGCCAAAAAACCATATACAGAAAAATTAGAGAAGGATAAAACTAGTTTATCGCAAGATCGAGCAAATCAGGAATATATAAAAAGAGATGGAGGAAAGAAAGAAAAAAAGGTCTATCTATGCTGTGTGCTTCTCTTCGGAGACGCCCTTCAGCAGACGATAGAGCTTCTTGTGCTCTTCCAGGAAGATGAATGTAGCGATGGTATGGGGACCCAGGCGGATGAAGCTAGGAACCCAGCCGCGGAAGGCCCAGGCGAAGCCTTCCTTGCGGGTGATGTCTCGTAGGAGACCCACGATGTTGTGGCCGTGGCTCTCAGCCGGGGAAGCGCTCATCACACGGGTCTTAATCACGTCCACGGGGCTGCAGACGGTTGTCGCGACGAAACCAGCCATGAAGGACGCAGTGAAATGAGTGCCCAGGTTATCAGACATGCCGAACCTGTCGATGCAGAGACGCTTAAAGGTGTCGTATGAGGCCAATTGCGATGCGGTCATCAGCACGGCACGAGTCGAGTTGGGCCAAACGCCACGGAACAGACTTGCGGGACCTTCGTGGCGGGTCATCTGGACCAGTCCGTGGAAGGCATGTCTGTAGTTACGGCGTTGCTCTATGGGGAGAGCTGCGTCGGACTGCATGCGCACGTTCATAACGTCGGCCGGGTTTCCTGCGATACCGCCAAGGAAGCCGGATGTACAGGCCATCCCGACCAGGGTGAGGGTGCTGGTGGGAGCATCGGGCGATGTGAAGCGCGATTTCAGCTCTTCATATATACCGAAGCGAGTGGTGGAATACGTTATCTGTCGCAAGAGCGCGGCCGAAAGCTACATGATTGTTGCACTGTAAGCAAGAGGTCTCTCTCTCTCTCTCTATCTTTTCCTCCCGTTTCCCCTGGGACCCACACGGATTGAACGTACCCCTCTATATATACCCAAAATTCCATCACTCTTAATCACATGGCCAAAAGTGCCCAGCATGGTGGTTGGCGCTCCGGGCCCACGTGTTTGCAAGCGAACCTATTTTTTTCATCGATTAGCGTCACCGTGACGCGAGAGAAAAAAGGACATGGGCAGAAAACGCATAACACAGCCGATAAGGTCCAGGAATAATTTACCTTCACTATAGAATTAGTGTTAGTTAAATTCAGTTCTAAAAACCATATTTTAATAAAGAAAGTAGCCATATGTTGAGGGCTTACCAAGATCCAAAGGGTGCGTCACAGTGGCCGCAAAACATGATGCAGAGCCACCAAACCAGAACGGATAATGCACCTTTTTCACGGGAACAGCAGCCCGGGGAGGCTGCGACATCTCCAACTTTGCGCTGCTTGCCATCCTGGTGGACAAGATGTGAACAATCCAGCGAGGGGAAGGGAAGCGGAGAGCGTATCGGACTAAGCGATTTCGAAAAGTAGGAGACCAGCTTGTACGGAGTACAAGTACCTAAATGTCTTAGACTGGAAATTCTAAAATGCGTCGGAGCCTTGATCTATCTCCGAGCCCGCAGTGGCCTTCGGCAGCATAACCGGCGCCGGAGGCAATCAGCCAATCATGTACTCGGTTTTGGCCGGGCAAACGGTAAACCCTCGGTAATACAGTGGAAGAAAGACAGGGATATCCGCGGGCTCATTCTTCGCGAAGAAGGCGTCTTGGAACGTTTGTCTACTTCAACATGATCGGTTCTTGATGTACTGCCGAGGGGCTTCATTCCAAGGCTTCATGTAGGATGACATCACTTCTCCTGCATTAGTTGATGACAGTGTACTGAGTATACTGTGTAGTGTCTGCTAAGTAATGGTAAACGTGATCGCAAGGATGTATTTTAGATCACATTGCCAGACAGAAGCAGCTTAGTTAGGCCATGTGGTGTCCTGGAGGACATGTGGAGTCAACGAAGCATCTCGAATACTTCGAATAAGTCTAATTTAAGCTCTGTTTTGACAACAAAGTGTTCTAGATGAGAGTATAGTATGGACAAGTCTCATCTCTCCATTTACCTCACTCAAGCCAGGGATCTCCATTGGCCAACATAGTTCTGTATCGAAGAATAAGATACCCCGTACATACACATCCTATTTGTTAGCAGACAAAGCTTTGGTAAGAGAGCATTCGAGCAAGTCAATTTCCTTCCACGTCTTTTGGACTTGTGAAAATAACGTAGGCCCGATGGTATTTATTAATCAAACATGCCAATCAGAGCAAATTCAGAGAAGACCAAGGACTCGTGTAGGCACGGCTGCGGAAGAGGTACTTGACTATTTCTTAGTAGCTTCAAGCACTATGGCTGCGATTTGAACTGTTTCATTCATTTTGAGTCTCTATATTGTAATTTAGTATGACATGCTCATACAAGCCCTTGAGGATACAAAGCCAATATAACATTCAACAACTCGACGCAAAGCTGCCATCGACTCGTATAAGCACGGTATAATCCCATTCGCGCCGCTGTTCCCTAACCTAAAACTCCGACCAGATGCTTTGAAGTAGCAATTATTGAATATGAAGGCATGCTTTTCCTGTTAATTCTTGTCTTCCCGGTTTTTCACTTTTGTGCCCCTACCATCAATAGCTTGGGTACACGTTAATATCTCAAAGAAAAGAGAAATCAATTAAAAACCATACCCACCACCTCCATATGGAGTTGCACCATACGGAGTTGCTGCGCTTGCTCCCCAAGCACTTGCACCGCCATTAGCGTAAGCAGTGAAGCCTCCATCAATGCCCTCTGGTGGCTCATATGCATCTGGACTGCGTACACCCATCATATCTTCATCCTCCCCACCCATAACACCATTGCGGTCGCCGTCACCAGTGCCAGACAGTGCCGAAATAACAGATGCAAGCTTGCGTTGTAAGACAGTGATCCCTTGCTGGATGATCATATCCGGCTCAAGAACGCCGACGCTCTCGACATCGATATAGAAATTGTTGGGTTGCGCATCGTAATCGAAGGGTTGGTCCGGGGGAGCAGCGTGTTCCCATGCAGCATTGTGAGAGACGGGCCTGCTTCTGTCAGTACTAGAAAAGCACTTTCCCCAGAGACTTTCTGAGAATAAAATGGTGATGCGACTTACCATTCTTTAATAGGATCTTCTTCGTACCAATAATCCACATGTTTGAGGTTATTGTGTGGATCATATTCGAAACCAACTGCTGCGGTGGGCATCCACTTGGCGTGTTCTTTGGCAATACCCTTCTTGGCGATACATGTCATTTTAAGCTCTTGCCCACGTCGCAATTTACAGATCAGGGGTCCATTGCCTTCTGGATCAGTGATAACCGGATTCCCGACCCATTCATTCGCCCGCTCGCCACTGACCACCAAATCCCGCGCATACACGCGCATAATGTCGTCGCCGGTGCAGCGCGCATGTAAAGTGAGCGTCACGCTGCACCGCGCGCAGTGGTCCTCGCACTCGCAGTCGCGAGTGTACTCAACGTCCTGGTCACAGTTCTTGGAATTCAGAGGGATGAGACCCAGTCGGTGGGCAAGAAACTCGTCCGGAAGCACAGAGGTGTTCTTCTCGACTTCAACTAGATCGATAGCAATAGTGGGGACTTCAGCAAGCATAGTTCGGCGGAGAGAGTTGGCGAAGGCGAGATCGACGGAGCTGAGTTTGAAATCGACTCGGTAGGGTTCGGCCTACAGTTCTGTTAATACCTGAGGGCTCGTGGTGGCGCTTCTGTTCATAAGTTTAACTTGGTATTCGAGATTTTCTTGACCATACCTCTCGCACTGTGACCTGGGGCCCTGTAGGCTCGATATCCATTTCATAATCCATGTTGGCGACGAAGCAGCGGTGCGGGCTGCCAACTTCAGATCGGAAACGGTAGCTTTTAATAATTTGTTTATAACACAGTTTAAGTTTGTAAAGAAAGTGGTTATAACAAACGACGTCTTGGCCGGTCAAAGGTGAAAGGAAAGCGATAGGGAGCTGGGTTTGAAGAAGAGCGTTAGGCGCGAGCGTTGAGTTCGGCTCCAAACTGAAGTTCCGCGCTTTCCCTGTTTGGGTATCTACAGATTTACTTAGTATTGACGACCTCATTCACAATACAAACTATTGGTAAACACATGACGCAGATAACCAATAATTCTGAAAAATATATATATATATATATATATATTATCTAGTATCTATGTCTATTACTTCACCTGATGGATATTTATATGCTAACTGATACGCATGAGATTACTCATGTCTACGTGTTCAATAAGAATATTTTTGCTGCTGAATCTCACAATCACGAGTCGCTTGGAGAATAGTCTATTTTTTGTGGGGTTTTCTTCTCTTCTTGACTCCTATTTCTGCATGAGTGAAAAGCCATATCATCAACAAAGGCACAAGCAGACCCATGTCACCAGTAGGCCAGTTGCCCTAACCGCATAGGCGGCGTCGCAAAGAGCTGTAAGTAGATGGTTAAACCATGTCAGAGTCAAAAGCAAACTTTGGTATCCAGATGACCAAATATCCTCTCCGCGAGTAGGATTCGATAGAATGATGATGTTCAAGCGACATCAGTTACAACTTTTCGTCCGTCCACGCTAGCGCTGTCCATGCGCTTCTAACTCTCTATTCGACGGATCGTCATGATATCTATAGTGGTGAGTGTGTGAATCCGATGCCATGCGCATACCGTCCCAAGTCGCCAAGTGGGTATGTCAAGCAAGGCATGTAATGACAACTCGAACTCCAGCAGAGCACCGCCAACCATTACAAAAAGGGATGTTCAGACAAAAGAAGGCAAGCAAGAAGGTAACCGGTGTAGAAAGATTTTCTCAGGGAGAAAGGAAAGAATCACGTCAAGTCGTAACGGGAAGACCAAGAGATCGCAGGTGATCTTCCACAGGCTCCTCGCCTATCCAGCTCCGGGACCGGAATATCAGGCAAGGGAAGGCAGTCGCTACCGTTTCATGGAGCTGCGATTCAATGCCTCTAAGAGCTCTGGGCGGCTCGCAAGAGCAGCTGCGGCTTGCGCATATGAGACCCATTGACGTTTTCGTTTATGCATTTCTGGCCATTGCGCTTCCTCACGGTCAACGGTGACCTCGAAGAATTGGTAAGTTGCCTTGGGTGCATGCGACGTCAATAGAGTAGAGGGGCGCATGTCAGGGATCAACCCCAAATCTCTAAGCACTGTGCAGATTATGCCACCCTCTTCCCAGGCCTCTCTGCAAGCGGCTTGTTGGGCGGTTTCTTCATCGGTTTCCCATCCACCTTTGGGAAGTACCCAGCCACCTCGTCCCGCAGATTGAATCATAAGCACCTGTGACTTATCGGTCGACAAGGGGACCACACCGGCCACAAGACGTTCGCCTTTCGATCCGTATCCTATTATTGATATACAGGTTAGCAATGGTATGCGCGACATAGCCGACGATAGCAGAGAGGGGATGGGAAAACGACGCGCGTAGTTCGAACGGGACATGGAGAGGGGCACAATTGGGCCCATATATCTCCAGGGACAAGCACTCACGTTGGTTTTTCCGTCCTGTGCGGGACTCCATTGACCGAGTTTGATCCACCATCTTGGATCAAGAAACAGAGAAAATAGGTCAAACAATAAGAACCCTCTACGCCACCTGGGCCAGATAGGCTATAGATAGAGGGATTGGATGAATCAGTGATGGGCAGCTCGCGCTGCAGTCCACGCGACAAGGAACCAAAAGAGTGTAGGGTTTGCGGAAAGTAAAAGAGAAGGTTGTCAATGACACAATAACGAGGCGAAGTATATGGGGTCAGAAGTCCGGAGATGAACTTTTTTAAACTTCAAACGACGGATATTCTGAGCCAAAAAGAAGAACCAGAACTGGTGAAAGAGAGCTGGTTCAGGACCCGTCGACCCTAATTTTTTTTCTACCCCCGGAACTTGGGAAAGCGAGGCGGTCGAGAAAAAAAAAAGTAGGGGAATTTTTTTGGAGGGGAAGGATTGGAAAAAAAAGCTTCAGGAACTAGGTATCCCCGTTCACTCCCGCAGCGGACGGGAACCTCGAAGGAGATGTGAAGGTACAAGAAGACATGGTAATCAGAAGGGCAGCATAGAAATAAGAGAAAAAGGATAGAGGGACAGGAAATGGGAGGAACGGAGGGGGAGGCGAGAGAACGGGGAATCAGAGACAGCTTAGGTTGGGGAGTATAATGGGCGGCGCGGTCCGGCAGGACGAGTCGCTCTCTCTCGCCCGGAGCGGACTTTGCTGGGCGGTACTTACGGGTACGTACGGTACCCTGATTCGGCCTCAATAGGTAACGGATTGGTCCGCATTTGTGTGTGCGGTGGGCATGCTTGGTATTACCGAGACAATACTGGCCTCCGGTATGCCTCCCCTTAATCCTGTCTCCAGTTATCTTGAATGTATTATAATAATTTATTTTGAGTCTTAGTTCTGGAAAGTCCACCCCCCAGTCTTTTCTTTTATTATTATAATATTCCTTTCTTTTGCTTTAATTTAGTAGATTTCTAGTTCTTACTCCTTTTTTTTTTTTTTAACAAAAAAAAAATCTCTCTTAGATGGTCCAACTCCTTATTTTCACCAATACTTTCCCCAGTCAACTTGTAGGTATTGTATGGTTGTATGGAATGTAGCAAACGTGTGGAGTTGGCCGAATGATTGTACCCAAGGATCTTGAAAGAGACAAACCGACAGGTGAGGTAAGTATGTTTCCAATTCCATAGTAATGACTCCTGAGTCTTCCGATGCATTGCGGACCTCGTCGGTTCCACAGTAACCTCTTGGTCACCCAAGGGACCACACAAATGGGAAAGCGAACTCGGGAGTACCGCCGTGCTGGTGAAATGATCACTCACACACTTGCTACTCAGACCCTGTCAGGAACTCGGCTCTTTCCAGTGCCTGTTGTTACAAACAGGCTTCTATGTATGCATGCACATGCAATACGAAAAACGCCACATAAGAGCTCCCTCAGATCTGGCGCAAATGGATTAATAAAAAAGATCCTTCACCATGTAGAGAGGGACTGGATTAAGTTCTGTCCGTCTCCATCGGACTTAGCCCTTTGTCTGACGAAGTAAACGACGATGGCCGCCACAAGCGCGCCGCATTCGTTGCGCTGATGTTCTCGGGCGTAAGTAGTATACTATGCATGTATGTACTTAGCTTAATACCTAGATAGTACAAGTTCTGGTCAAAACTGGATGTAGAATGGAACTATAACTTCCTTTAAATTAACCTTTTATGGCTTGCGCTCTTCTAGCCAAAAAAGAAAAGGAAAAAGTGCAAAAAAAAAAAAAAAAGCACATTCAACCTCGCATTTTGGTACCAGTGATTAGTTGGCCACTAGTCACACACTGCAAACAAAAATAACTAATCACCATGAGTTTCCCAGAATTAGGATCGATCCACATGGTTAACCAACTTTGTACAGCGAATGGGTACTGTATACACTTATGTGATAATCGGAACAAATAGTTGTGTAATCAAAGTATTAGATTTCCTTGTGGAACGAGGTGATAGAATAACCAGCAGCAGGCCGAGTTCCCACGATCCCCTCGGGACCTCGTTGCACGGACGCGTCCTTTGCAACCTGTGTCCATGGGTCAAGATTACCCTCTTCTTCTTGGGTAGTAACAGAGTGTGCATCGCCCTTTTGTGGATGCTAGCATATCCCCACATTGCATGCGACAGACTCGAGGAGCGAGTTATCGTACCTATATAATTTTTTTTTTTCATACGTGCCCATAGAGAGATGCATCAGCGTATCAATTTTCAAGATTCTTTGGGAGGCGTAAGTAGGTATGATTGTGGCCTTCTCTATTTTGTTTTATTTCAATCTAATTTCTTCCTTTTTACGGTGCTGGTTACTGGGCACTCCCATTCCCCTTGTCATCCAGACAAGCCTTGGGGTTATTGGGTACCATCCAGCATGCCTGCATACATTATTAGTCTTCAAAACCAGCATCACAGAATGACTGATCCAACTAAATGCGGGGCTTCAACAACGATTATTCAGTCCATGCCGCTCTCTCTTTTTACTTTCTTTATGTTTGAAGACACGAAACAGGTAAAAGGAAAAAAAGAAAAAGAAAAAATCTACCTTTCAGACGTCAAAGTCAAACCCAGATCAGAGCTCGCCTCGCCCCATTAAATCTATTAATGGCGATGATGTAGGTGTACATATGTCCTGTTCTTATGTCCTCTGTGAACCTATAGGGGATTTGTAGATCATAGCCGGGGGTAAGGAGGGGGGAGGGTTACTTAAGATAGTGCGGGCTAAAACTACGAAGGATTTCGGACTACCAAAGAAGGTATGCCTATCGTATTCAAGGGCAACTCGGTCAGATTGGGAAGGATGATGGTGGCGATTGAGTGGTGAAGTGACAACACAGCAAATACACAGTATTTATTGAGTTAGTGCGGATCTTTTGTGTCGATACTTGACGTTTGGGATACTTCGACATGTGATGTCATGGTCACTTCTGAAATAGTAAATTGGATTGAATGAAACCACTTGAAACCGAATGATGGATCAGCCGAGACAAGGTTCAATGGATTGTCGCAGCACAACATTCCAACGGCCATCAATAATAAGGATTGACCGTTGGGACACTTGGCCAACTTCCCATTTCAGAGCCAGGGACACCCAATGACATGATCCTATCGTATTGTATGTATCGTACCGGGAAGTTTCATTACCAACGTCTCTCTCTGTGTGTACTGTACCTAGTATATCCTGGATGATGTATGTATATACATCCATCCATCCATCCGTAGGTAGGTATCAGGTCATAGCGATCTGTACCTGGTTGAAAATGGCAAATCAAGCCAGCTAGTCTATGACTAACAATGGCAATTCCAGATTGGTGGTGCCACTCAGGCTAGGGGGTTTGCATATACCTAGGTAGTAGTCACCCTGTTGTAAGATCTCCAGGATCTTTTCGCGTTTTCTAGGCTCTGGTACTGTACAAACATACTGTACGGGGTACGTCCCTCCCCATCCTACTAGGTACTGTACAGTACTTCCTAGGTAGTCCAATATCAGTACGATGCGAGCGTTGATAGATCAAGAGAAATGAATGGATATTATATGGATATTGACATGAGTACATGATAATTGAATAAATGGACCCCATCAAGGCTACCCAACACAGAGTTTCCTAGCGAACAAGGATGATGCGAAATGCATTGAGGCAACATGAGCTTTGCACGCTTGGATCCTCTTCTAGAAGCATCACGAACGTCATTTGCAGCGCTTGGCAGCTGCTCCTGGTGATCTACTGCGGTTTTAGCACCGAATGATTCTGCTTGTTCTGTATATCTCACTTTTCTGAGCTATCCCAAACCTTGAACTCAGAAGGAACATCTATGACAGGAGAGGGACGGTGTGTTTGTTTCCCTTGATGCTGGCCGAAGTGGTAGTACCGTACGTGTGTTCCAAAGAAAGGCATACAAACTGATAAACCGATAACCCATCTTCTTTAACCGCAAGCTTAAACATCCCTCTGTTATTCTTCGACGCTGAACTCCATTTGCAGATAGATTAAAACCTCGTCTGGTTCGGGTTTAATTTCCCTTGTGTTTCCTCCAAAAGACACGAAGCTTTTTCTTGCTGATTTTCCCACCCCTCATTTTTTTTTTTACCCTTGGGTTTCCGCCTTGAGCGCCGACGATAATAACCGCACTACATCCACCACTGCTAATTGAAACTATGGGATCCATCATCGACGCCGAACAAGCCAGGAAATTGTCGCTTTTCCGACCTCTTGGTAAGCAGCCAGTCAGACGATATTCCCTTTCCCCGTGCAACCATTATTGGCCCTCATCCACCCTTCTTGAACCCGGGGCCCAAACCGATATTCTGTGCCCCTCAACGACGCTTTTACTGCCCCTCTTCCGCGGCGATAGTTTCTTGGCCATCGCCAATACGGCCCATCGTGATCCTTTGATCATGTCCCTCATTAGTGCCCTTCCTTACAACTAATGCATGCCTGTACTCCCTTTCTTTTATCGCCGCGGTCGTTGGATCGATTGGTGACTGTCCGCCATGACTAACGAACATGGGAACCCCACAATCCAATGCTGATCCCAACATACAGGTTACCAGCGCAACTCGTGTGGCTACTGTAAATCCGACAATGGAAGTGAGTCTATCTGGCACATGTCCCTTCCCTCCCTCTCACAATGGATGGTCCTGCAGCCATCCAGTCCATCTAAGGCCCTTCTAACATGTATCTACTGCAGGCGCCTCGTACTATACTAGCTCTGTATCAGTACGCCCCGGCCATTATGAGGTGCTCGTCAACCGTGGGTGGAGACGGTATGTATCTATCACTCGCTTGATGAGTCGGTACGTGGCATGCGGTCGCTAATTCCTACTCCAGATCAGGGACGCTATACTACAAGCAGAACCTGCAGAGATCATGTTGTCCGCACTATACGATGAGGTATGTACAAGGCAACCAAAAGTAACCCACATTGGCTGTGGTCCACTAATTTATTGATTAGGCTTGAGGCAACGGCCTTCAAGTCAAGGAAGGACCAACGCAAAGCGATCAATCGCTGGAATAAGTTCGTACTGGGACCGGAATACATCCGAAGGGCAGCTTACCTGTGCCCTAAAACCCGGGAGTAAGTCCATTGACTATGATCCGAACGTGAGACCGGGGCTAACCTCAAATAATTTCAGAGAAAAGAGACACCGGAAATGCAATTTCGACCTACACACTGCTGTTCACGAGGCTGAGTACAGCAATGTGAAGAGGCCCATTGATCCCAAGACCAAGAAATACTTGGAACCTGCTCATCGATTTGAGGTCAACTTAGAAGGGGATTCTGTATCTCAGGCAAAGTAAGTGTAACCCAACTCCTCACCATATTACTCTTGTTAATTACCCAAGATACGAGCTCTTCCTCAAATACCAGACCAAGGTCCACAAGGAGGACGTCTCCACGTGGCAGCAGAAGGACTTCAAACGGTTCCTCTGTTCGGGCCTGAAGCGTTCCCCGACTGATCCCAAGTCTACTGAGAAGAAATTAGGGTCATGGCACCAGTGCTACCGCCTGGATGGGAAGCTCATAGCTGTTGCGGTCTTGGACCTGATGCCCAGTGGCGTGAGCTCTGTATATATCTTGTGAGTTTTGCTTACTCCAGAGTCATTCGAGCAATAACTGACGGCCGAAGCTATGATCCTGACTACGAACAATGGGAGTTCGGGAAACTCAGCGCCCTAAGGGAGATTGCCCTCTCGATTGAAGATAGTTACCAGTATTACTACATGGGTAAGATATTCCCAGCCTCTATTTACGACCTATGGAACAGATAGTCACTGACAACCCTACACAGGCTATTATATCCACTCCTGCCAGAAAATGCGTTACAAGGGATCCTTCAAGCCGCAGTATATCCTCGGTAAGAACACCATCAATTTTCAACAAACAAAGTAACATATTGACATATACAGACCCCGAAAGCTACACATGGGATCCCCTTGATGGCGAGCTGGCAAAGAAGCTAGACGAACGTCCATACGTATCACTCTCGCGAGACCGCTGTCGTCCCGCCGAAGGCACATCAGAGTCCACCGGGACAGAGGCCGACGCCGAAATCAACGACGATGAGGTATCTCTCTTCGACCTGCACATGCCCGGTGTCCTGTCTCTGAAAGAAGTAAAGGCCTTGGATCTGGACCACTGGCTGCTCCTCGTCCATGGTAGTTTTGTGCATATGAATGTAAGTACATTTCTCAGTGAGTGGATATCCTCTGTTGGCCTCATATTGACATGTACTGCCACAGGACCTCGTGGGATGGGAGACGATGCCTATGGATAATCCCCAGTCTGTTAAAGGGATTATTGCTGAGCTTGCCGCGGTGTTGGGTCCGGAAATTGTCAAGCAGAGTGCCGTCGTACTGTTCGACTAATAGCGCCTTTAGATATTACTTTTACCTATGCATATAGAAAAGATCACATGAGAAAGATATGTGCAAGTAAATAAGTAATTCGACCTATATATGGCATAAATGTGTATCTAAATTATTGCAGGGGAAGCAAACCAACTCCGTATGTGTCATGATCACAATATCCTCCAAAACGCCCCGCCAATGATTCAATAAAGCACAAGAGATAGAAAAACCATCAATGCATCCCAGATAACAACATAGAAACCCATGCAAGTATACAAAGATGGAAAAACAAGCCAAATGCACACGCTAAAGCACATCCTAAACGTATCCACAAATTGCTAAAACGACCACGTATCAAATCTCATGCATTCAACACATCAATTCAACAGGAGGTCGAGACGTCTTCGGCGGAGCCTTCCGTATCGGCATCTCAATGGGGCTCACATCCATTTCCAAGTCATCCACCATGATGGTCGTATCCTCGACCATAACAGCAGGCAGATTGGGACTTCCGCCATGTTCCTCAGGGTGGTAAATAAGGGTGCTGCTTCTGCTGCGCTGTCCGGACATAGAGACGGGCCAGCTCCCCGTGCGCTTATCAGAGGTCATGGACATCGGGGTACCGGGTTCACAGGTCTGGTTGATAACCTCGTGGACACTAGATTGCTCGGTCTTCAACTTGGCCAGGGCGCTGGCGAGATCGCTGGCGTGCACCTCCTTGTTCGGGGGTTCCTCGTTGCGCATGACCCATCCGTGCGGGGGGCTGGGTGGCGGGCTGATGAAAAAGAGCTTGTCGGCATGGGGGGCCTCCAGGAGCTTTGGGCGGCGGGATTCCTCTTCATCCAGGATTGGGGTGGGTTCACCGAAGTAGACCTTCGGGCGAACGTTGTGCTCAAGGAGTTGGCCGTCGAGGAGTTTCCGGACCCCGAGAGCGTCTTCTTCAGTGTAGAAGGAACAGATGAGGCGGCGGAGAGAGGGGAGCGGAGAGAATGAGTTCAGGGGCGCGATGGATTCGAGTTGTGCGCGGAGAGTGGCAAGAGAGGCGGGTTGGAAGAGGAGGATATTGCTGAGTTCGGTTATGATGAGGGTGTTTGTTGGCTTGGCTGGTTGAGACATTGTTGGAAGATTAGAGAGATCGAGCGTGAGGGCTGGTCGTGATGCCGAAGATGACCGAGAGGCCCTGTTGACGCTGAAGGAGGGAGGGGCGGAGATTGACTCCGGAGAAGTGGTAAGTCCAGGCATTATGTGTTTCGATATTTGAATTGAGATTTGAGAGAGACCCGGGGGTGTCTTTGAAGTAGAGAGGAAGGGAAGAGGAGAAAGGGAGTTGACGGTGGCGGGGGGACAATCAATGATTATTATTGATAAGTCACGAGATAAGGCAAGACCGCTTTCAACTCTTGAGAGTTTTCACTAAGTTTCAACGAGAACAATCAGGACTTGTTCTTTTGATATATGATCACCTCGGCGGTTTTCTGTTTTCAATGTGGTTCTGCTGGATTCTATTCAATGTAAAGGACGATTCCGGTCCCAACTTATATACCGGAAAAGCCCAATAGCAGCATTCCAAAATGCAGTTGTGCTGCGCCCCCTTGAGACGCACGGTCGGGATCCTACCAGACACTGCCCCAAGACCAAAACCAGTAGCGATTACGACTTGTCCGCTGGCTTGGTTCCTGACGATCCATCCGTTTTTGCTCGAATTTTTTTTTTTTTTTTTTTTTTTTTTCCTTGCCTGTTTTTGAATCCTTGCCACGGCTCCGCTGTGGCTGGAGAGACAAATTAGCGATGCTCTTTGCCACAAGCACTGCCGAATTCAGACCGTCGCCATCAATTCTAGAATATGCTTTATGCTTTTTGATGAATGACAATCATAATTCCTTCCCGGCGATTGCCGTGGGGAGGCTGATCAGTTGCTAATGGTTCTGAAATCACCCGCTGATGCTGTCATCAGCAGCAATTGTTGGCTTGACGGACTGTATGTCCTAGGTATGACAAGGCACTATAGTGCTATTGGACACATACAAGCCCCCCAATCCTTCCAACAATTGGAACTCGGCACAAAGGTCTGTCTACCCGTGCCAGTGCCATTCCGTGGATCGGTCCCGGAAAAGGGGGACCACTCCGCAGATTCTTGGTCTCCATCGCAGCTCCGCCCCCCGGTGGAGGTCCGGATTGCCTCATCCTCCGCGTGGTTGTCCACGCAGTACAGTATCAATGATGCTGTCCAGACTCCAGCACGCAGCGGACGGTGGGGATTTGCGGGTTTCCACTCTAGGCAGTCGAAATCTAAGTTGGCTGACAGCGTGCACTACCCATGCACTCCGCTCTAAGCCCCGACGCGGATGATCACTGTACTGCTCGGATATGAGCAACCGTCTCACCTTGCAGGAGCCATAGCCATACTTTGGCTCCATGCCAAGTTTCAAGCTACTCGATCTCTTGACTCGTAATATCCTCGCCCTCAGTTGCCAGATATCGCTTCGGGTGCGGAGTGTACCAGAGAGGCGTCTGTATCCATGGCATGGTCACATGAGCCTTCTGAACAAGGCTCAGCGATGCTCCTACCTTGATACAGTCGGCCATTTTCTTCTTGTACATGCTATTTCCTGTGAATTTCTCTTCGTTAATTCTTCTGCCTTTCTCTTGCAGAATCCATCTGCCTGGCTGCGGAACGTTGATCTAGCTGCGCTTCGAGGGTTCATGCATAGCCACCCCGGAATCTGTCATGGTATCCATCTCGAGTGATCCACCCGAACCTGGTGCCGCACCAAACCACCTTACCAATTCCCCAACATCACCCTATCCAACCTTCCATGTATGTATAATGTATCCTAAAAGCAAGACTTTCTTCGGCATGAGAGTTACAAGGCAGTCAGTTACCAGGACGCCTTGCTTATCCTGAACCTCAGAGCAGCACTCAATTGCCCTAAGCCTTGCACAGCGTTCATTCTTTCACCGAACCTTATCCTACAAATAACCCTCTCATACAACCGGGCAATAGCCTTGAATCTCTTCGCAAAGGCCCCTCAACCCGACTCTAATTAATCTCAAAAGCATACGGCAGGCCAGGACCAACGTGAAGCTGCAAACCAATATTCGCCTTCGCAACCTAGCCGCAAAGGCCATATCCTTAACCCAAAAGACATCCAACTCGCTCAGATCAACATAAGCGGGCACGGGTAGGCGCAGCATAGGCCTCGACCTTATCCGAGCCGACGACAACCTGACCCAGGAGCTTGGTCCAACCAGTGAGATTATCATCCATGTTCCACAAAAGCAGGAGCATCATCCGATCGTCCAACATCGGATAGATAAGAACCTGCGTTTGCAGGTGCGGCCACATGCCTTGATCTCTTGCCCTTGACGCCCACACACAGCGGCCAGGTTTTCGCCTGTCGTGGCGATGCGGCTCTCGTGTCCATGGCGAACTGGTCAGCGTGCTCGTGCGATCACTCCAGGCCCGCGTAACAGACCTGTGATGACGTTGGGTGAGGCTTATCCGGTGCTACGCGGTAATCTCCTAAGACTTAAACGCGGGTGTTCTGTGCCTGGGCTCGTACACATCGAACTGGAACGTGCCTCCGCCATGCTTGTGTAGGACAGCCGGCTCCGGCGCCGTAAACGTAGCTTGTTCTTGAGTGTCAAGCGATGGATGGACACTGTCTGGTCGTCATAACACATGAACCTGTGAACTTGTAAACTCGTGGACAGTTTACCCACGTCTAAGGCTCAGGGAGCGCCTCGAAGGACGCCGCATAGTAGGCGGTGTTAGCCTTTCCATTGAGGCTCGGTCTAATACACTGCTGGCTGCAGCCGTGGTGAAATCCGGATCCTAACTACACGGTATCTTGGGGGGAGGGGGGAGAATATATATTCTGGTGTACCCGAGTCTAGCTTAATTCAAGTTACATAGATCTGATAAAATGTGAAATTACTTTCATTTCAACTTTCTTACTTCATTTGCCTTGCTTGATACAAAAGCAATTACAATAGAGAAGAGTAGGTCACATTCAAAGTATAAAATATGGCTGTGCAATGATCTGAGAATACTATACTATGTATATAACTCCATGTAATAAGCTCCGTACCCCACGAAGGCTACTACATAAGAAAGTAATATCATAGTTAGAAAATCCGATAGCAGCACTCTCGCACTCTTCTCTACTCTCAAGTCTTGGGGATATCTTGTTCATCGAGGTATATAGAACGATCCAAAACCAAAGCAAGTGAACAGAACCGATCTGAAACTCCGAGATGAGGGGAAATCGACAGATCACTTGAAACAGAAATGAGAAACACCATCATACACCATCGTTTCACTTGGTATCATATCTTATGAATGTTTTAACGAAAATCGCTCCCGCCTCCGTGGTTTCCCCTTACCAAAGCCCACAGTGCTCTTTCTCCCGACCCACACACTGTTTGCAAGATAGGAGAGTAATAACTGAAAAAGCATTGCTGAAAACAAAGAAATCAGAGAACAAAAACCCGGGAGGAAGACGGCTGAAATAGATCTCGGTATCCGCTTTCCCGGCCATCTGTCATGCCCTTTTTTTCCGAATTTTCCCGCCACCTTTAACTGCATGTTCCGAATGGTATCAAGCAAAAGCACAAAAAAAAAAAAAAAAAAAAAAAAAAAAAAAAAAAAAAAAAAAAAAAACGCTGATTGCAAACCTTTAAAACAAAAAAAAAGAAAAAAGAAAATAAATAAAAGAGGTCTTGGGGGTATAGTGCTGCAAATTGACATTGTTTTAACGCGGTGGCCCAATAGGGGCCGGGTATCCAGAAGTAGAATTGGAAGTACTAGGACGACCACTATCAAAAGACGCGCGGGGGTCATGCTTGGGAGTCATGTCCCCCGGCGCGGTACCGAATGGAAATTTCGTGTCAAAGCGCGCTGGCCAGCCATTGCTGCTGCTGTGGCTGTGGGAGCTCCCCAGGACGGGCAGATCATCCTCGGGGAGATTCACACCCGAATCATTCCATGGATTGCGGTAGCCACTATCCCGAGATTCCATGGAAACCAGCGAAGCCTTGGAGGCGTTGCTGGAGGCGTGTTTGAAGAACGAGCCGGGAGAGGCGGAGTGGTTCTTGCGACCGATGAAAGACGAGAACGACGAGATGCTACCAGGCTTGCGGAGTCTTTCGAAAATCGACCCACGCTCACTAGTCTCGTCGGAAAAGTTGGGTCTGGTGGGAGAGTCCGTAACAAGAGGGACCGGTGCATGCTGCAACAGCTTGGAGTCGAAGAACGGAAGAGATTCTTCAAACGAGTCAGATTTAGGACGCGGAATAGCCCCTTTAACGGTATTCGCATCAAGTCCATGCGCCACTAGACGCGAAATCAGAAAATCGATGGCATCCTTAAGACCGCCGGCATTGTTCCGCGTGTATCCAAGCACAACACGGTCCTCGGGAGGCAAAGTTGGTGAAGCCGAACCAGCCGAACCAGTTTCGGAGGCGGGAAAGTCAGCACTGAGGTCAACCGTAGTGTCAACCTCATATTGCTCTTTCAGCTTGGCGCAAACGTCGCTGCGGAACTCCACAGACTTGAAGTACTCGCGAAGTTCGTGAGAGCTTTGGAAAAGGAGCTCATGGCTCTCCGGTACCATTCCAAGCAAAGCATCAACAGCCTGCGGAACCTGGTATTCAGGTCCTGAGATGGTCACCACATCACTGGCAAGTTCGGTGCTGGGGAACTCGATCTTGCAGTTCCATTTCTTTTCGAGCTCATCGATCTCCGTCATACGAGCAAGGAGTTCACGGTGGTAGAGGCGGTTGATCACTACACGCTCAGAGACATATTCTGCGTCGACCTTCTCGACCATGTCCATGATCTCCTGCTTCACGAGATCCAAGCTCTGTGCGTTACGGGCTGGCGTGCGGCAGATGACATTGTCAACCTTGATGTCGTCATCCTCCTTGCCCATACCACCGCGATCCATAGCGTTGGAGAACTTGACGAAGACCGAGTATTTCTTCATGATGCGCTGAATATGCTGGCCACCGATGCCAATGATCCGCTTGTGGTATTGATCCGGCACATGGAACGAGATCGAAGCCGGCATTTCCTGCTCGACGAGATCGAGACCGTTCTTCGTAGACTCATACTGATTTCCGCAAACGTCGATGTAGAAGTTGTACTCGTTGAAGCCATCAAAGATAATTTGCACATTGCCTGTTCTATGTTAGGAATCAAGGCTACAAAGTGCGAACCGATGCAGTACTCACTCTGACCCATGATCTTGTTGATCTTTCCGTTCTTCTTGCCGCTGACAAACTCTTTGTGCTCATTTGCTAGTTCGATTTTCACACGCATCTGGTATTGACTCCGCTGGACGAATGGGATCTGGTTGACGACCATCATGGCAGCCTTCACGGCGTCATCGGAGCCGTTGATAGTGAAGGTTAGGTTGTCAAAGCTCACTTCTGCCGCGGAATTGGTGCAGATATCTGACAGCATGGTGCGAACATCGGCGGGTGAGGGGGCGCGGAAGGTTCCCTGAGAGGGATCCGGCATGATAATCCACCACGAGGCGCTGTAGAATTGACCAGCCTAATCAAATTAGCCAAAAAGCCCTTGTAGCATGAATGCATTTGAACGTACCAAGGCCATGATCTCCCGCACAGTGCGCTCCACATGCAGCACTTCGGTGCCTTGGATACGGACAAGACCCCGTTGGCTGCCAAGTTGAGGGAAGAGAACGTAAGAGCCGTTCATCTCCATCACTTTTCGAACTTTGTCCAAGCGGTCAAGCAAAATGTTGTCAATCTTGTTAGAATTGACAATGACATCCTTGACATAGATCTTGACGCCCATGACAAGTTCTCTCAATTTTTGCTTGGCTCGAGCAATCTGCTCTTGGGTATCACCGGTGATATAGACCTCATCTTCACTGCGACGGTGAGCGCCTGGGGGCGTGTATCCGAAGATGCGAGGAAAGGGAGGCGGGAAGTAAATGGCAGTACCCGTGGCGGCCTCGATAAGCTTGATGTTTTTGCGAGTGCGACCACAGACTAATGTATGCATGGTCAACTCTAGCTTCATAGCGTCCACGTGACGTTTAAGCTAGTAACCGGTTAGTCGTCATCATTGCATGATGCCGGTGAAGGGAAAAGGGTATTATAGGGCAATGATTGATTTTCGTGTTCGGAGAATTTTTCTTTTCTAATGCGTGGATAGGAAAACAGGTAACTTACGATCTGATCGATCATGATCAATACCCTGGTCTTGGCATGTTCAGCGCTCTCCATGTCACCGTAAATCGAAACCCGGAAACGTTGGTCCAGCCCATTGTCAGAGGCATAGCCATAAGAAGACACCACCGCGCTATCGTTATCTCGAAGTTTGGGGCTCAGTAGGAAGATGTCCGTTCCGGTGTATGCGGACAGGGTATCAAGGTGTTCTAATACGCTCGGTCGGATTCCTTTCGTGGACCCATCCATGATGAGATGCATATCCACATCAACGGTCGCACAGCGCTATTGATTGGATCTCATTAGTAAGTGGATCGAGCATGCAGGCGATAGCCACCAAACTACGGACGAACATACCAACAGGATAGGTGTCTCGTTCAGGATCCTGGCCCGCATTTTGCGCACGGTCTCGCCTTCACCGGTGATACAGACGTTCGTTACCAAGCCTTGAGGTCGCCGTTGTAAGGACGCAACGGACTTGGGTTCCGAACCGAACACGACTGCCTCGATTCTCCCATTACTACTCTCGGTGATTTGGCGACACAATCTCCGCAAGGCCTCGACATTTCTGGTGTGAACGGGTAAGTTGTGGACGGGAGTGCCTTCGAGGGTGCCTTCGGGAAAAGTCCAGCGCTGCAGAGCACCTGGGCTTGCATGGAGCACATCATCCACATCGGGACCGCCCAACGTCGAAGAAAACGGCACGTTAAAGGAAAGGTTGACGGTCGGGTCGATGCCGGTTGGCGGTGTCATGGGTGGTGCGCCATGAGGTCGACGTAGCGAGTGCGATGCCATATCGGTGTGAGGCCTGGACATGCCAAACGTGGGCGTCATTCGCTCCCAGCCATGACGGGCTTGACCCGTAAAGTTGGAAATCTTGTGCATGGCAAGGGCGGCGGGTTTGAGTCTCTAACCCCTTGAACGAGTCGAGGGGAAAGAGAGAAACAGCGTCCGAGGAGAATGGCGGAAGGACGGATAGGTGAGAGAGAAGGAAGGAGAAAGCAAGAGGAAGAGGAGACGAGAGGGCAAGTCAGCCAGGAGAGGATGAGAGGCGTCAAGGGTGTGGATCGCCGTTCTCGACAGGGATGAGAAGAGGGCAAAGGAATGATGAGCGCGCGAAGGTGGTGTGGGCGGACAAGGGCGTTTCTGTCTTGGTACCGGAATGGGTTGGGAAAATGATTCGATTCAATTCAACGACCAAACGGGTATCGAGGGTTCGGGAGAAAGGAGGGGGAAACAAATAAAACCAAAGAAAAGGGTAAGGGAAAAAAAAAAAGAAAAGAAAAGAAAGGAAACTAAGAAAATAAGGGAAATTGAACAAGAATTTGGGAAAGAGAAGGGGAGGTAAAAAGGGAATCGAAAATGAGATAGATCAATCAGAAAGAAAATGAGTAAGTAGAAGGCATGAGTAGAAGAGAAGAAGAAAACCGGATGATCCCAATGGTCAGACTTCGAGCTCCTCCAGCGAAGGGGTTCTGGGTTGCTAGTGAATAATCAGTGGTACTAAAAAAATTAAGAAAATCCAAAATAAAATAAAATCATATAATGGGAAATAATAAAATTAGTCTCTGATCGATGGGTATGAACGAAAGGTTTGGCATTGGCCTGGGTACAGGAAAGGGTTTAGTGGGGGTTTGAGTCAGCAGATGCTCTCTTCGTATGGTCTGGTTTGTATGTATCTCAGTACAGTCTGTATTGATGAAGTTCTCGTATAGATGGGAGGGAAAGAGTACGGAGTACAGATCTGTATGTATCTTAATCGGACACTCATGGAGTACGTTTGTTTGGTGTGAAAAAAAAAAAAAAGGAAAAGGATGGGAAGAAATGTTCACTCGTGAAGTTCCTCTGGAAAAGAAGGAGTATGGCCAGATAATCAAGGGACTCAAAGCGAGATAAGCTCTTCGCTGAAAAACCACCAGTTCCGATCTTTGACTGCGCCGATTCAACGCCAGGCAAATGAACAATCAAAAATAGGGATGTCGAAGGATTCAGTTGGCGAAAGAGGTACGCTCCGGACCACCCTTCAGTATAAAACCTTTTTTGTTTCCTTATCTCGTAAATGGGTAGTGCTCTTCCGTTCTTGGTGGTATGACAGGAATTAGAACTCGAAATAAAGAAGAGAGCGAACATAACAAAGATGAAAATAATGTGCAAGAACGGAAAGACTCCACGGATCTAAGGTCCAGCCTCAGTATCGGTTGTGTGGTTTCTCATTCGATCCGTAGACCAAAAGATCAGTGATGTTTCCTGACATTGTAGTCATTGATACCGGCACCGCCCCCACCCTTGGGTCCAAGCCAAACGATCTCAATGACACTGTGGCCTTCATCCTCTTCACGCACGTACCACTGGTGCACATTGTCACCCACAACGTAAGCTTCCTTCAGGAGCCAACGGTCCTTGAGGACACCCTCGTGGTCCTTAGGACGAAGAGGTCCCAGGCGCTCTTCGTACCCACGAGGGTCCTCTTCCCAAGTCTTCTCCGTATGGTCGAAGTCAATGGCATCATCAGGAGTGTTCTCGCCATAGGTGTACTTGACAAGAGAGTATCCATTGGTCATGACCCAGAATGTACGAGTGCTCTTTCCGGTGGAGTTGTTGACAATCTCTTCCTGGTCGAACACCCAGCGACGGAGCACTGACCGGCGACCGGCGGCAGCTGCCACAGTCGTCATCTTGACAACGTCCTTCGTGTACCAGCTGTTCCAGTGGTGGAGGGACTCAATCTTCCGGCCCGACTCGTACACGCCGTCAACCTCACCCTTCATGTCCATCTGGTAAAGAGAGGGCCACAGGGTAAGGGGAGTATCTCCGTATCTCTGGATGCACTGTCCGAGCTTCTGGTCTCCAGGCTGTTCACCCCAAGACTGGCATTCGTCGTAGTATGTTTCGAGAACGTCCAGGAGAGGCTTAGATACGAAAACACCGGCACCGCCGAAGGCAATGTGGCCAAAGGTGTCAACCTGCCAGTGGGCCTCCGACAGCGAGCCGATGTAATGCTTCTTGGTCACATCGAAAAGCTTCAGCTCCTCAGCGACAGTGGGAAGGGACAAGAAGAAAGTATCGTCGTCGATGAAGCTAACCCACTGGGTCTGGGGGCGCTTGGTACGAATGTGTTTGGCGAACGCCTCAACCAAGCCGAAATAACGAGCAGTAAAATCGAGAGGAGACTGAATAAGTGTCAAGTCCAGGCCACGGTTACGGAAGTAGGTCTCTTGCTTGGGAATGTCGTCGTCGGATTCGGGTACCAACACGATAATACCAGCCTTGGTGTTTCCGTAGGAGTAGAGGAGGGAAGGAAGCAAGCGGTCCAAACGGTCAGCAGTCGTGGCCAAACCGAACAGAAGCTTGTCCGTCTCATCAACGTCATGGTCGGCCGCTACATTAACATCGATGATGGGAGGGCAGGAAATGTCGTCGTCCTTGTTGTCCGGAGAGATAACCATGCCACGCTCCATGACAGTCATGGGCGGGAGAACAGGGACATCAACTTCCTCCAGCGAGCTGAATTCAGTCTTAGGGCTCACGTGGTGAGGACGGAAGTACGCGCGGGTATAGTTCTTGCGAGGCAGCCACTCAGTGAAAGGCATGGGGGGCATAACACTAGGGTCCGCATCGCACATTTTCGCCGTCGGGGCTGATGATGGTTGTAGCTGAATCTGGGGAGTACCAGCCGACGTAGTCACCCGGTCGACGGGGTGCTTGAATCGAAGGAACGCTGCACGATCATAACGTTCAATGCACCAAAAGAAGAAGCCTATTGAAAATAGGGCGACGAGAGGAAAGACGGTCCTCGTGCGGAAAATCGGCATCTTGGGCGAATTATTAAAGGAGTTGTTCTTAAGCATGAAAACGATTGTAGAAACCGGTCGACAGCAAGTGTATTATATCACTGCTTGTATCAAAGGGACATCGACGGAATAAAGTCGTCGTCTATCGGGTCCGCTATCGCACAAATGTCACCAGAGAAATCAGCCGAGATTCGACGAACCGGAGGATGAAAAGAGCGTAAATGGCGAATAGAAATTTTATATAGAAAAATTTCCACAGCCAAGAGGAATTGACAACGAAAGTCTGGCAGCGTCGAGACCTGCGACACGGTCACAAAAAGGAGGTAGTTCGGGTTGAAAGGCCCGGTGAAATTATTCGGGTCTCCCCGTCGCGATGGGGAAACAGGAGCCGAAGGGAAGTATAGAGGCCGACAGCAAGAAGAACAGCACAACTGGACCACGAGTCCAGGGCTTAGAGAAACAATCGAAATTGGAGGAGGAAAGAGGACTTGTGTCGAGCCTTTGAGGGGTGAGAAGGAGAAAAGAAGAAGAGATGGAAGAGAGGAGGAGGGGAGGGGAGGAAGTATGAAGAGGACGGATGAGGGAAGGATGAAGACAGGAGAGAAAGTGTTCCTAAGTGGGAATGCCGAATAATGGACCACGGGTTGAAATGGGGCCTAAGCTCCTCCACTGGGTAATTTAATCTGCAAAATATTAAGCTCAACTCCGCTGTAATTTTCCACTGCACTTTAAAGAGGTTTCAGATGTATCGATGGCCGAGAAACCGACCTTAATCTCGAGGTCGAGTTTTGGAGAGGGTTGAGAAGAGGAAGAAAAATTGGTTAAGCAGAGAGATGGAAATAAAGCCAGAGGGCAATAATGAGGAATTCCAAGTTATAAGATGTTGATTATGCTTCCTTCGCCTTGTTGACGCCTCCCGCATTTTCTGTAACTTTAGTCCGCCTTTTTTTTTTTTTTTTTTTTTGAAAACCCTGTTAGCCCTTCCTCAGTACTGGTACATGCTCAGAAGAGTAGTGGACTGTTTTGGTGTAGATCCCTGACAGAAGGGAAGAATGCCGCTCAGATGGATGGATCGCCTCTCTCCACCAGCGGGTGGTTGGTAATTTTCAATTTCGGATTTCAAACAAACCCTCCAAAGCAGAACCCTCTCAAGGTTTATGATGGAATTAATATGATAATATAGATATCACAATTACGATTGCCAGTGCTGAAAGGAATTCTGTCCTACGGAGTAAACGCTTACACTTTCCTATAGGTATAGTCAATACATCTGCTCTCAGGTTATTAAGTGTGTATATCTTCAAATTCAATATCTCCGATGTTTCTGTAAGGGTACTACATAGTACATACATCGATCTGCATCTATCACGCACCAAGTCTCTCCGAAAGCCATTTCATTTCAACAAAGAATAACATCAGGAAGTGCAAGAGGAATAACTCCGACTTCATGGTGAATCTATGGTGAATCCGGTCAAACTGATCGTGTATTATCCCACCCATAAAGATGCTTCCTGAAAGAGTAGCATACGCGTTTTATAATCGCATCGTCCATCGGGAAGTGTTTTCTCCGTTCTTCGCATCTCCTGTTCAGGGTCCTAACGGCCGATCAACGTTTCCTTCATCAACTTCAAACAGGACATCAAGTGTTACAGATTTCTGTAACCGCTCGTTTCTTGCTAATTACACACAATCTCTGCTATTCTTGACGAAGTGGGACTCGTCGGACCCAGTCGACGGACGGACAATCCACCATTGTACTCCATTAGGAATGGTCCATGGCGTGAAAGATTCTGGGAATGTTCCACTGTTTGTTCTTATCTTATTTTTTCCTTTTAATTTCTCCTATCTTTCGTGCAGAGCCTTTGGGACTATTGTGTAGTCTTCCTTGCAAATTGTAAAATAAACAAATTGTAACATACGGAGAAATATCCTGATGAAAATTTCCCAAGGTTTGCCCAATTGATGATTCTGCGTGTATGTGTCGACAGTACTACGTACTCAACTCAACTCGTCGACATCTGGTACGAATACCCAGGCGAACAAGTCCTTGAAGAAAATAAAAAGAGGCGTCGATCTGAGTGGTTTCCCGCCCTTCCAGCCACTCAGGGGCAACCATTTAGGGGGCGCTGCCTCTCGGAGCCCCACGGGCCGCGTGTCCCTCCCACCACAACATGTTGTTTTCCCCCTATTACTCAGTATTTCTGAGTCGGAGAAGGTATTCGAGTCGTATCTAAAGCTCTTGTCCTTACTCAGAGTATATTTATATTATTATTATTATTATTATTATTATTCATATCGTGTGGTTTCGTTACGTCTGTAACAGGGTACTATTCTGTACAGAGCTCATCGTCCGTGCTTGACTCGGTTGCGGTTGACATAAACTCGAGTACTGTCCGTATGCCATACTTTGACCATACAGATTAGAATTCAGGAGATTTTTGTCCCTGAATGCACTGCCATCTCTGTTACTATTTTTTGCAGAATGGAACCCACAGTTC